TCTAAGAAGTCTTGTCTGCAGCTCTATTTAAATACCATCTGTCTCCTACCAGTCCCCTGAGGAGCCACCTTCCTGTGGATGTCCAGTAAGTGCTTCAGGCCTAACCAGTCCGAAACTAAACATCTGACTCCTGCAGCTTCATCCCTCGGTGGGGGAACATTTCACATTACATCCCTAAGCAGGGCTGGTCTGCTGTGGTTTCATGGTATTGAGAGCCACGTCTCCTGCAGCCTCCTCCACAGCCTCATGCTGGGTCACCGGACAGTCCCCCTTTTTGATTTCCCTGCCCGGTCCTAAGCTTGCCATCCAGTCTGACTCAGCAGGCAGTGTGGTCCTCTAAAAATCCCACTCACAGCCCTCCTCATGCCAACTGAGCATATCCTAAACCAAACTCGTAGCCTACTGCCAATGCCCTTCACGCCCCAGCGTCCCAACCCAGGTCTGACCACATGGCCTCTTCCTGCCCTTATCACCTTTTTCTCCTTTCTCATTGCCCATGCTTACTCTCTCCCACCCAGGCCATCCTTCCCTCTTGTCCTCCAGGGTGCATGGGACAGGCGGGGTCTTCCCTTGGGTACCCTCTGATTCAGTGCCTCACTTCTTCAGCGATCTGTCCAGGTGCCAGTGAAGCCCTCCTCCCACCACCAGCCTTGCCTGTCCTTACCTGGTTGACATTTTGCACGGCTTCTAGAACTCATCTACATTGTGTGATAATGTTGCTGATGCTTCTGAAAAATGTGTTCTTATTTGCTGCCCACCAGTTTACTCCCCAAAGACCCACAACAGCCAGGGCCAGACCGGACTGCATCCAGAAGCAAGAGAGTCAATGAAGGTTTCCCCAAATGAGTGGCAGGAACCCCCAAGCATTTGAGTTGCCAATCCCTGCCTCCCAGGTGCATTACCGGGAAGCTGGGCCTGGAACCAGGCATTCTAAAATGGGTTGCAGGTGTATGCCGGGTGGCAGCGTAACACCCGCTCCTTCCCTTCCCCTCCCTGATATTTCTTTGTTCTTTTCTCCCTCTGCTCTAGATTGCTCATTTCGTGAAGCCAGACATTTTGTTTGTTTTTGTTGCCTCCAGAAAGAAAATGCTTGTCCTGGCAGGCGTGTGGCCCAGGAGTTAACACTCGTACGATGCATGTCAGCAGAGTACCTGGATTTGAATTCCAGGCCTGGCTCCTGACACCAGCTGTTTGCCAGTGTATCCTGGGAGGCAGTGGTGATGGCACGAGTGACTGGGTTGCTGCCACCCACCCAAGGGACCTGGTTACATTCCAGGGCCCTGGCTTTGGCCCCACCCTAGCCTTTCCTCAACCTTTGCAGGTATTGGGGGAGTAAGCCGGTAAATTGGGGTGGGGGGCACTGTCTCTGCCTCTCAGAGCATTGGGAAGTGGTACAGATTCATTGACCCACTCATTCCTGGCACTAGGCTTCTAAAAAAAAAACAAACAAAATGCTGTTGGCTTCTGTTAGAGAAATGATGAATGAGTGAATGAGAAAGATGGATTGGAGGGGAAAGAGGCCAGTTACAGGTGTGGAATCCTAGCGAAGCTAGTCCGTGGTGAAGGCACAAGGCTGACCATCCTTCCCACTGCTTACCTGTGCTTCTTTGATAGCTGTTTTCCTTTCCCTGTGATGTATTGTTCTTTCTGATTGAACCGCGAACATGATCTCGGACTGAATGCAGATCTTTTGTTTCCCTAGCGAATCAGTGCGGGTTAATGATGGGAAATGGTAATTCTCATTTGGCTGAACACACCCAGGCCGCCTGGTTTCCAGCCACTTTTCTCCCTGTGGGCTAACATTCCTCACTGTCCTTTCTGGTTTATTTGATAGTGCAGAACGTGCATGTCCTCCCCTTGACTCCTCCCGCGAAGCCAGGGGTCTTTAGGACGGGTCGCCTCAGTGTGGCCCCGTGGGGGTGCTGTCGCTCCAGCAGCAGTCTGACAGACTCACAAACGCTGCTTTGGCAGCTCTCACATGCCCTGACTTTTCTCAACTCCAGGGCAAGAACCATTTCCATTCTAACAGATGGACATGAATTTAACCAGACAATAAACCACGTATGTGCCATAAATGTGTTTGCAGAGGGCACGATTGCCAGTGCAGAATTTTCAAGAACAGCTGTCCCATCGCGAGCGCATTGCTTGGTGAGATGATTTGTTAACCTAATTCTGAAACAGATTACGTTCATGAAGTTAATCTGTCAGTGGCTTCTCCTCCACTACCCACAGTCTAATTATTCTGGAGGGAGGGGGCAGTTTATACAAGCAAAATTTACTTACATGAGACTTAAAAACGAATTTGATCTGCTCGCTTTCCAAATCTGGTGTCATTTGTCTAAAAGGGGTCTTTACCCTTTTGTGCGTTGCTAGCGTCTTGTCTTCATGCCTGCCAGAGATGCAGATCATTGACTGGGAACCGTCATCACCATTCCCTTGCTGCTTTCCCCGTTAGTAATCCCATTGCATTACTACATCAACTACTAGTTCGTTTGAGCTGCACAGTTCTTTAAAAATATATGTGGTTCTTTTTTGTCCCCCTTTGTCCGCCTGTCCCTGTCTTCGGATAAGATGTTTCCATTCCCTCCACCCCCGTTGCTCTCCCTGTGGAACCTATGCAAATGAGAACACGGAGGATTTGTTCGCTTTGCATTCTTCAGACGGTGACTTTTGTTGATGTACATTTTCTCTGGCATGATCCACCAGGCAAAGTATAAATTGCTGTAAAACTGGAAAAGTGTTTGAATGAATAAAGCAGATGTTCTCTTAGCGTGAAGCAGATGTAAAACTTGCAAGTGTCTGTCTAATAAAGTATAGCATTTGGTTCTATACAGCTGGTGCCAAGATTACCGATTAATCATGTTTGAATGCATTTTTACTAATTAGGCCCCCCTCCGTTCTTTACTGTTTGGGGTATATTAAAGAGAGGGGCGGAGCACAGAAGCCTTCCCCTTAGAGTCTTTTGAGTAACATCTTTTTTCTTCTTCTCTGTCATTCTTTTCTTCTTGGAACCATGCAGGAAATGAAGTTCTTAGATGTGGATTACTGATTTGGCTCTCCAGTCTGATTTGGGGAGATTGGCCTGACATTAGAATCTTACACTGAAAGCGATAGTTAGTACTTTGAACACTTTAAGGCAGCTGGGGAGAAGAAAAGGAATGTAATTAAGCTTAATGTTTTCTTTTCTTATTTGCACGGACAAAAGCTAGTATTTGCTCAGTTAACATCACTTCATAGCTGCTGTGCTTGTCTAGCCAATTAGGCTTTTGAACTTTTTTTTTAAACATGTATTTATTTATTTGAAAGGCAGAGTTGCAGAGAGAGAGAGAGGGAGCAATCTCTCTCATCTGCTGGCTCACTATGCAAATGCCCACAGTAACGAGGAGTGGGACAGGCCAAATAACGAGGAGTGGGACAGGCCAAAGATGGGGCTTTGGCTCCTGGGTCTCTCACGTGGGTGCAGAGCCTGGGCACTTGGGCCATGCTCTGTTGCTTTCCCAGGGGCACTAGCAGGGAACTGGATCGGAAGTAGAACTGAAAGGACACATTCCAGCACACAGTAGGGTGCCAGACAACACCAACTCCCCAGAATTTGAATGTTCTGGAAAGAAATGATACCACTTTGGCTTTAGGTTATCCGAAGCAATGGAGCAATTTTTATTTAAGAGTGAAGATGAATGGTTAAGGAGTATTGCTTATTCTGCTGTGAAAGAAACCACGCAGATCAGTAACAACTGGGAAAGCAGCAAGAGCTGTGGGATTGTACATTGTCCTTTATTTAAAGTAGTCTGGCTTTCATTGGGTCTGGCTAACTCGGCCAGCACCTCCAGCAGGCTGATTGTTAAGGTGAGCATTTTGTGTGGCCCACAGATGTGTTACAAATATTCAAAAGTGGCCGTCAGCAGAGAAACAATTCCCCAACCCCTGCTATGGAGTAAGGAGGCTGCGGAATTACAGTCCAGGGCCCGGTGAACCTTTTGTTCCATGCTTGATCTTTGAGGACAAGTTGTTGTCTGTGAAAGGAAAGTCAGTGTGTAGGAAGGCTGGCCACCCCACCTCCTGTTTTTCCTTTAAAAGGACATAGCGGTGATGAAACTTAATAGTTTAACTTTTGGTGTCAGTAATCAGGTATTTATTCCCTTCGGTAATTAGGAGGGTATTTCTTCAATGCTTTACCCATGAACTGAATTATAGGTTTGTTTGTTTTTCTCCAAGATCAGAAATTTCAAGGATAGAAGAAACAGGGTGGGTAAATTTCAATTCTGAAGATAAATAGCACAAGGGTTCTTTCAATGAAGTGTTTATTACTGTTGAAAAGATAGTTCGAGGTACAGGGAGGCATGCTGGAAGTTGTTCAGCAGCCGGAAGTGTGGTGTTCTGTGGTCAGCCTCTCCGAGAAGTTCAGCTGGGCTTGTGGAATGGAAATCTACTCTAACGGGAGACACTCCGATGAGTGTTAGAGTCTAGAGAATATGCCACACACTCTAGTACCTGGCTTTTCGAGTGCTAGGTTAGAAGACTCTGTAATGGAAAAGATTATGACTTTATCCTCATGTATATTTTCATATGTATATAAAATGTAAAATCTTTGAGTATTAATAGTATTTTCCAGAAAGTCTTCCTCATCCTCATTCCCCATTGCCTCCATATTTTATGTTAATGATTTAAATTTTAGATTTAGTAAGAGCATCTTGCCGCTAAATTGACTAATGCTATTACTTAACACGTTCAGACTTTCTAAGGTTGAACACTTGCCTAAAGGCAGTTGCAGTATTTCATGCATCTACTTGCCTGCACGAGCCTCATTCCACGATTACACTTGTCAGAGTAAAATTCATATGTAAAAGGTTTGCCTCATTTGACTAAGGATATCTTGCAGTTTGAGGATAAAGAGAAAGTCCTAGAACTTATCTAATTATCATGGGTCTGGTACCTGGAGCAACTGTAGTCATTTTCATTTCGGAGATTTTTTTCTGTTTTGCAAATGTCCTCTTTTTGTGTCTCAGTAATATGAGAATGGTGTTTTTTTTTTTTTTTTTAACTTTTGTAGTTTTAACATGTCTGATGGAGAAAAGCATTCACTGTGAAACGTCAGCTTGAACGGAGCTGATTGTGCCCATTTGTTACGGTGGTTTGTCACAGGAAAGATCCAGCCTCCGGGGCAGTGGGCAGAGGTGTGAGATAGACACACGTGCTGTGTCCATCACCCAGCCCCAGCCCTTGTCAGCCTTCTCCCAGCCGTGTGCGCCAAGCTTTCGGCAGCCTCTAAGTGTCACGATTTTTTTTTTTTTGTCTCTCCTGAGTTGTAGTTCATGTCCTGTTTCTACAGTGACGGTATATGTTTAAGCAAAACTAGGTCATGTAAACCCAGTAGCTCTAACTTTGTTTCAGGAAGTGGAGCGAGAAATCTCATTCAGAACGGAATGCGGACTATATTACTCCTACTACAAGCAGATGCTGCAGGCTCCCACCCTCGCGCAAGGTAATTACAAGGCAAGGAGTTGCGTTTGGGAATCTGTTGCATTCTTTTCATGATTTCAGTCAGCCTCTTAGATAAGATGCCCACATCTGGGGTCAGTGTGGTGGCGTCATGGAAAAAGCTGCTGCCTGCAGTGCCAGTATCCCACATGGGCATCAGGTATAACCCGGCACTTGGGAGAGAGGCAGAAGATGCCCCAGTGTTTGGGCCCCCGACACCAACGTGGAAGACTCAGATGAAGCTGCTGCTTAGAAGCTGGCCCAGCCTGGCCTTTGCAACCATTTGAGGAGTGAACCAGCAAATTCAAGATCTCTTCTTTGTGTCTTCCTCTCTCTATGTAACTCTGCCTTTCAAATAAGTAAACACATCTTTTTTAAAAAGATGCTTTTTTTTTTTTCCTTTGCACTAAAGCAGTTTAAATGCTTTATGAAGCCTGTACAGTTTTTCCTTGTTACCATTTAATAATTCCATGAACATACTCTTCTGTGGAAGAAGTTGCATAATATTTTATAGGTTATTTTATATAACATCCCCCTTAATGGCTTTCTAGTGCTTCTCCATTGCAAAAGGAATCTTTGCAATTTCTTGATTTTTTAATTGCTGATTTTAGTTATGATCCGTTTACTTTTTTTTTTTTTCAACTTTATTTGATAGATCTTGCTTCTGCCAGCTCACTCCCAAAGCACTCCCCAAAAGCCAGGATTAGATCTGGCCAAATCTAGAAGTGTAGAAGTTCATCCAGGCTTCCTGCCACGATACACATGAGCAGGAAACTGGACTGAAATAGCAGAGCCAGGACTGGAACCGACACTCTGATATGGGTTGCAGACATTCCAGATGTCGTCTCTAACCCCTGAACCAACCATCCCGATTATTCTCAGAGAGATCCTGGCAGGTGAATGTCAAACAACAGGCAATCGTGTGACCATGAAAGCTGGCGTTGTCCTTCTTGTCCCTGGGGTCTCCCCGTCATTCCTTTACTTTGCAGTCACCTCTTTGCTGCCTCCTCACTTTTCCTAAGTGGTTTAGTGCCCACGTTCTTCTAACGGGAGCTCTAAAAGCACCTCTTCTACCGCCCTTAATGTACTTAACTGAGCACAAGTGACAGAATTGTCCTCATCTAGGTTTTGTTTGGAATCAGCCAGGATGTTTTGGGAACAGGTTCTTTCTAGGTGATGTCTTGTACTTCTCATTTTACCAAAATAAGAGCTAAGAAGTTTTGGTTAGCTTTTCATAAAAAAGTTGATAGCATGATTCATCAACCCGTTGGTCCCTCACTTCATGTTGTTAGTAGCCACTGACGACTATTGCCTGTGTACGTCGTTTGATAGGCAACCAAAATATGGTGTTCGAATTCAATCATTCTTCCAGGTTTTTTTTTAATCAACTTATTTTGTATTGGAGAGGCACATATATATGGAGTAGGAGAGACAAAAAGATCTTCCATTTACTGACTTGCTCACTCTCCAAGAGACCACAATAGTTAGAGTTGAGCTAATCCGAAGTTGGAAGCCAGGGGCTTTTTCCAGGTCTTCCATGCAGGTGCAGGGTCCCAAGACTTGGGGTCATCTTCCTCTGCTCTCTCAGGCCATCAGTAGGGAGCTGGGTGGAAAGTGAAACAGCCGGGACACAAACTGGTATCCATATAGGGTGCTGGTGCTTGCAGGGGGGGATTAGCGAATGGAACCATCATGCCGGACCCAGGAAGCTGGATTTGAAGTGGAACATCAGGAATGTGAACTGGTACCCATATAGGGTCCCGAAGCTTGAAAGGGGAGGATTAGCCAATTGAGCTATTGTGCTAGGTCCTCTTCCTAATTATTAGTTGGAACTCAATTATGTAAAAAGCCTTTTCCTCATCAACTATGAAGCTACCTTGAGGTACCACGTATATAGAAAAGACAAAATAAGGATTGATCCCCTCCCCTACAGAGTCAGGCCATGCAGTTCACATATTGTTTATTTGCAAAATTGTCTGCTCATGAGAATTAATCTATGCTCCACCTAAATCAACACTTATGAAATTTTTTTTAAGATTTATTCATTTGAAAGGCAGAATTACAAACACGCATGCACATAGAGACAGAGATTTTTCCATCCATTAGCTCACTGTTCAAAGGCCACAGTAGGTAGGGGTAGTCCAAGCCAAAGCCAGGCTCCAGGAGCTGCTCCTTGGTCTCCTAGTTGAGTGCATGCTCTTAGGCCATCTTGCCACTTTCCCAGACTCACCCAGCACCCCACAGCGCCACGGTCATTCGTGGGTGTGTCCCAAGCTTTGGGGGTCACTGACATGCTTGTTCTCAGAGAATGAACAAGGTGATACTCTTTGTTTTAGTTCTCACACTGTAGTATCCTTTTTGTAGTCACACGTAGGGCCATATTTCCACATTTGTGTGCTTTTTGTTGGTGATTCTGCAGTTGAACATGGCCCCTTGAGCCTGTGTGAAGTGCTGTCTTGTGCTCCTGAGTGTAAGAAGGAGGTGAGGTGTCCTACAGAGAAAGTACGTGTTAGGCATGAATCATAGTGCTGTTGACAGTGAAACAAATCAATACAAGTTAAAGAAACTCTTTAAACAGGAAATATATAAAACAAGGATGCCAGCCCAGTCACGTGACCAAATTGCATAACCAAAGGCTTAAAAATCAGGACTAGCAAGAGCCTGACACTTTACCCTGCTAGTATTCACTTGTTCACCTCTTACTGTGGCTGTGTAGAAGAAAACTGCTGGGAGTATTGAAACGTGGTACCATTTGCTCGTTTTCAAATTGGTTCTCTGAACAGTTTTTAAAACAGTGCTCCGAACGGAGGGAGGAACGGGTGGGGGCTGGGCCCCTGCGGGACATCTGGGATTTGTGGAGATACCATTGGATATTGTACCTGGAGGGCCGGAGTCCTTCTAGAATCTTGTGGGTGGGGACCATGGAGGCTGCTGAACATCCTCCCAGGCACAGATCAGCCTCGGCCCCAGATGTCAGTCACCCTGAGGTCAGGCAACTGCTGGAGTGATGCCACTGTGAGCCCAGTGGTCCATCATTAAGTTTTTCAGTTTTGGTTTGGTTTTGTTTTCTGAAAATTTGAGCATATAAAAAGAATCTTGCCTGTGTTCACGACACAGCTAACAGTTAGCAGCTCCTGACCAGTCTTGTTTTCTCTGTAAACACATCTGAATGTTTGCGAAAGTTGAGTTGTGCTTTTTGACCCAGCCCCAGTGATCCTTTGAAGACCCTCTTTCTTTATGACGTGACAACGATGCTTCATGCCCATGTAGCGTATTCTCTCTCTGTAACCTAGAATCAGCTGTTGCTCTAAGGAGCTCTACTGCATTTCTGTGGCTATTTAAATTACCATGGTCTGGGCATCCGGGGCTTAAATTGCCACAAGATTGGGCATTGTTTCCAAGTGGAACTGGGGGTATGAATTTTCTTTCCTAAAAGAAAATATGCATATAACCAATCTCAGTTCCAAGTGGAGAAAACAGGGATATTACTTTTTAAGTTTTGTAAGTTGACAAAACAAGTCCATTACAAATTTTACCATCTTTATGTTATTATGAATCTATAATTGCTTCAAAGACAGTACGATTCCCCGAGAAGCTGTCCCTGCAGCTCTCCTTCAGCTGGGACTACACATTTTCCTCTGTTGTCATTCAGGTCACTGGAAAGCCTGCTTTCTCTGTGACCAAGCCACCAACTCAGTGGGTTTGCTTATTTCCTTCTGCTTTTGTCAGATGTTTAATTTACTTTCTTTTATACTTATAGAAAATGCGTACATGTTCCCAAAATCAAACCTATGAAACAGAGAACATTCAGAAAGAGGGCTCCTCCCATCCCTGCCCTTCTGCCCTGTTTTCCTTCCCAGCTCTGTAGGTAACTGTTTTATTAGTCTTTAGTTTATTCTTGTGCTGTTAATGTTTTAAATATGTAAACAAATGCTTCACTTAATTTTTCTGTTTGTTAGAGAAGAGCTGCCTCCAGCCCTGGTAGATTGTAAGGGTGGTTTCTTAGTGTAATGCCCATAGGTGACCTTTTATAGTCCATTGGGCTGCTGGATGGTTGAAGCCACGGGGATTTCTTTTCTCGTGTCTCTGGAAGCAGAAAGTTTAAGGTTCGGATGCCAGTCTGGTTGGGTCCTAACAAGAGCTGCCTCCATGACTTACAGCTGTTTCTCTGCCATGTCCTCACCTGGCAGAGACAGCAGGCAAGCTCTCTTGTATCCCTTCCCACCAAGGGCGCCACCCAGGGGAGGGCTGGGGAAATACACGGCTAGTGAGTAACAGCCCCATGTGGTTAACCTTCTAGAGTGGTCATTACCTGAGTTGAATAGCTCACACTGAGAGCTTCAGCAACAGAAATTTATTTTCTCTAAATTCTAGAGGCTTACACACCAAGGTCAAGGTGCTGTTGAGGTTGCTTCCTGGTGATGCTTGTCTTCCTGTGTCATGGACACCTTCTGCTGCCTGTGTGCTCACGTGGCCTTTTCTCTGAGCAGGTGCAGTAGCAGCAGACGCACCCACTCTGACCTCTTCCTCTTCTGATGAGGTCATCAGTGCTGTCGTAGTGACACAGCTCTGTTAGAACCTCACAGCCTTCCTTGATCTGTAGATACAGTCCTGTTGGAGGCCTGGGCATCAGCAAGGGATTGGAGGAGCAGTGTTTCTGTCTGCCTCTCCTCCCACTGATGCGTTTGGATCATTTCTGGTCTTCCAGACTGAGCTTTTTTGGATCAGAAGGCCAGTACACGTGGTTTTTAAGGCACTTATTTTTATTTACAAGGCAGGATTACAGAAAGAAAGAAACAGAATGAGAGATCTCCCATCCTCCAGTTCACTCCCTCAATGGCCACAATGACCAGGGCTGGGCCATGCCAAATGCTGGAGCCAGGCACTTCATCCAGGTGTCCCGCTTGGATGCAGGGGCCCAGGGACTTGGCTCATCCTGCACTACCTTCTTAGGTGCACTAGCAGGAAGCTGGATCCGAAATGGAGCAGCGGGGTGGGGTGCCGGTTTGGCAGGCAGCAGCTTTGAGTGGTACACCACAACACCGGCTTCGCAGTGCCATTGTCATTTGCACTTTCGGCGGGGGTGAGGTTGAGCGTCTTTTCCTATGCCTGAGGAACTGCTCCTCTTCTGGGAACTTCCTAATCGTGCTTTACATCACTTAGCTTAGTCACAAGCAGCAGGTGATTCCAAAAAGCAGGGAGTTTTTTGTGACAGCAGGTGTATGTCTTGCTCTGATTGCATGCCTGTCCTCTGTGAGGCCACTGTGGCTCTCCCCAATGGATCCTCTCATGCCAGCCCCTATTTGGAACATGCCAGCATCATAGCAGAAGCCAAGAGTGAGAGTGATAGAAACACGTGTTTCTGTTTCTTAAAAACCTCAAATGTGGTACACATCCATCAACTCACATGGCCATTGGGCAGAGCAAGTCAGAGGGCCACCCGTCCCGGGGGATGGGGAAGGCTGTGCGTCCTGTGCTAGGAAAGGCCTTGCCGACCCCCTGGCAGGAGCGCGGCGGAGGCACTGTCCCATCCTCCCACCCGTCTGCACAGGAACCCATGTGCCCTCTTTTTTTTTTTCTATTGCAGTCATAAAAGTGTTTGACCCTTGTTTGTGCACGCGTAGGGCACACCTAGCGTATGCATAGGAAATTCATGTTTTTTGTTCACCGTTGTATCTCCACTGCCTGCCACAATCTGACAGATACTGAAGACTTGGAGTAAGTTGAACGAGTAATTGCAACTTTTTTTCCCCCCTGTAACTTCTTAAATATCAATCTCAGGTTTTCATGGCTTAATATATGATAACAAAACTGAATCCATGCGGACAATTAACCTCCTTCAACGAATGAATATTTACCAAGAGGTTTTTCTGAGCATTTTGTATAGAGTTCTACCCATACAGGTAAGCTGCATTCTGTCTCATTAAATTGTTAATAACAATTGAAAGTCAAAAATTTGCCATTTTTTGTTGAAAATCTTAAATGCATTGTTTTGGTCTTCAGCTGGCTCCAAAGTAGTCAGCATCGTCCTACTTTTCTCCATATAGAGTAAGAATTGTGCCTTTTGTTTATATTTTTCGAGGTTTGCATATAGAGTTACTTCCTGGCTTGTAATACTTGTGCAAAGTGTAGAAACCGGTAAATCTTTTCATTTGGAAATGTGTATTTAAAAAACATTGTTAAAGTAGCAAATCACAATGCCCAGTTCCTGTGGGTGAAGTTGGACTCAGTTCGGTCCAGGTTGACTGAAGAACAGGGCCAGACCCCTCAGGGACTTCTGTTGTGGCGGGGAGGGACTGTAGGTGTGTGAGTAGCTGTGAGGGGGTGCATTGGGCTCCCCTGCCCAGAGAGCAGCCGGTCTCTGAGCTTTGCTTTTCTGCATCCTGTGTTTCAAATGACAGCAAGGAGAACTGAAGTTTCCCTGACAAATAATTTTTGTCTTTCCCTTCTACAGAAATATTTAGAGCCAGTTTATTTTTATATTTACACTTTATTTGGACTCCAGGCGATCTATGTCACAGCTCTTTATGTAACCAGCTGGCTCCTTAGTGGTACCTGGCTCTCAGGGCTGTTGGCAGCCCTCTGGTACGTCGCCAACAGGTGAGTGGCAGTTCGCCCCTCTGCTTTTGTGGACTGTGAGCCTGAATTATTTCCTTTCCAGTTCAGAGGCATTTCTTCGGCCACCTGTGCGCGGGTTGGAGCTTTTGTCTTTGGTTTGCCTGGTTGTTAATGAAACGCTTCATGTTTAATAAGGCCTGTATTTCCAGCTGAGGAATAGCGAATTGCAAATGAGGAGAACCATCAGTAGGATTCTTAACCCTGTTACCCATTGGCTCTGTGGTCCGTATTTCTAGTCATGTGTGCAAGCACTTCGAAAATTTCATGGAAAATGAAAACTTAAAAAGCTTTTTTAGGTGCAGAAAATTTTGGAAGTCCTGCTCATGAGGGTTCTTTTCGCTGCCCCCAATAACCAGACCAAAGGCAAGCGCTTAGAGCTCGGCTAGTGTCTTCCACTGGTGGAAGCGACCCAAGTGCCTCAGCCATCACCTGCTGCCTGCCGTGGTCCACATCAGTGGGAGAGTAAAATTAGGACAGAGCCCAGGACATTGACCCCAGCACTCAGATACGGGGTGTAGACTTCCCCCGCAGTGTATGTATTGCTGTACCAGACTCCCCCCAAGATCCTAAAGCACTTCCTGAGTACCTGCATAGACTTGTGTGCCACTCTCAGTTAACAAAGCTCAGGGCACTGAGAAAAGGAAATCTATGACACTAATGAATTACTACTGTTTATAAACACTGGTTTCTTATGAAATAGAATTTTTAGTGTCAGTATGAGGCTTAAAACTTGGACACAAGTACTAGTAGAGATTTTATTTTGTAATCTTAAGCAAATTTTTATGTTAAAATTCCTTTGAGTGTCTACTATGGGCCAAGTAATTTACAAAATGTTTTATTTGTTTTTATTAGTAACCCTATAAAGTAGGTTATTACCTCCATTTTAGAAATGAAGAAATTGAGTCTTAAGAGGTTAAATTTTGTTGGGAAGATGGATTAAAGGTAAATTTATTTTGGCGTAAAAAAATTTGGAATCTATGAGTAGTTTTTTTTTTAAAGATTTTTTTGTTGTTGTTGTAGAAGCAGATATACAGAAAGGAGGGGAGACAGAGAGGAAAAATCATCCATCCATTGATTCACTTCCCAAGCAGCCACAACAGCTGGAGCTGAGCTGATCCGAAGCCAGGAGCCCGGAGCCCCTTCTGGGTCTCTTCTGTGGGTGCAGGGTCCCAAGGCAGTCCTGGACTGCTTTCCCAGGCCACAAGCAGGGAGCTGGATGGGAAGTGGGGCTGTTGGGATTAGAACTGGCGCCAATATGGGATCCCGGCGCCTTCAAGACTAGGACTTTAGCTGCTAGGTTATTGTGCTGGGCCCAGGGTTTTGTTTTTTTTTAATCATAGATTTCCATCAACTTTTTGGAGATCCCTCAAGTTTGTGTAAGTGCACATGTCTGCCTATGGGTAATATTTACTGAGTGCCGGATCCCTTGCGTGTGCAAGGAGTGGCTTTTGGCACCAAATGTACAAAGGTACTACACTTTTCTTTTACAATTTTACATTTTGGTGAGGCAGGAAGTTTTTGAAAATCATTGCCAGGTAGTTTTAAAAAACTCTAAATTACTAAAGAGTTAGAGAAGTTGGACAGATAAACAGCGCTGCCTTTTGATACCAGTGAAGTGAGAAATAAAAATACCAAACAGTTTGGCACGGTACACTCGTGGGCCAAGGAATCAGGCTGACATGGGCTTAAAATCCAGTGTTGTACCACTTAGCTAAATGCATGTCCACAGACAGCCCACTCGGGTTCCTCAGTGCCAGTTCATGCTATGTGATGGGGACCGTTCTTAAAACTGAAAGCCAGTGACCAGATTCTAAATATCTTTATGTGGGGCACTTGTAAAAGTTCACGTGAAAATACAGTTAAAAATGGATTATTTGGGGGCCAAAAGAAAGTGCTGAAATGCATGCATGACATTTTTCATGAAGTATTTTGCCCTGGACTCGGTGTAATATATGTTTGACTCTGGAAGTCTGAGGGAGTTATGGAAGTCATCATTCTGGCCATCTGTGTTTCTTCCTTTGTGCAGAATAGATACCACAAGAGTGGAGTTTACCATCCCGCTGAGGGAGAACTGGGCACTGCCATTCTTTGCAATTCAGATAGCAGCAATTACGTATTTTCTGAGACCAAACTTACAGCCTCCTTCTGAAGTAAGTTTTTCCAACACTTCATGTATTTTCTAATTTCCCAGGTTTATATAAGAGGTTAGAAAAGATGTGTGCTTAACATCCCAGCCACAGGCAGGTAGTTCTTATTCTTTGACCAACTTTTTAGCTCAAGTCAAATTTTTTTTTTCTGAGATGTATCCTACTTTGCAAAGAAAATGTTTTCATTTTTTGATGTTAAAAATGTACTTTACATAATCCACCCTTAAATAGTTGCAGCAAACCCACACACAATTTCTGCAAAGCTGTCAGAATTTTTAAGCCATTGCTCTTGAGATTTGACTTGGTGCATTATCGCCTCCATAATAGTGTGGAATACACATACCGTATGTGAGCATTTATATGCAGAGTGTCACTGAAGGATATTTAGAGCTTAAATAAGCAGTGCAAGGGTTTTCAGAGCAACAGTTTATGGCTTCTTTATTTGGTTTATAGAGATATAGGCCACTCTTGAGCAAACTTGTCTGCAAGGTCTTTTATTACCAGAGGCACGCACATTATACAAAGGTTTTCTCTTTACAGAGGCTGATGCTTCTTGCCATTTTCATATCAACTTTTCTCTTTAGTCTGACGTGGCAATTTAATCAATTTATGATGTTGATGCAAGCATTAGTGCTGTTCGTGCTGGACTCCTTGGACATGCTACCTGCAGTGAAGGTAAGCCCTGCTTCCTCTTCATGTTCTGAGAACTTCATTGGCTAATACCACAGAAACCGATGAAAGTTTGCAGATATTAAAGGATAAAGAAAAGCTCCTATTTTAGATTTCATGTAAATATGCCATAGTCAGTTTTAACTGAGTAATTTATGCAGCTCAGCTTGATGGTCTTGACTTGTACTGTGCTTATTTTGTGTGAAAAATTGGATTTGTTTAAGGCATAAATGTGCAGGCCGCTTGCCTTTTTTTTTTTTTTATTAAGATGGCTTAAATTTTAAAGTAACTCTTAAATATGTGACTAGTATTGCCTTTTTTTCCCAATGAACTCAGTACATACATAACAACCTTTCTGTAGTACTTCATGAAAGTTTCTTAGTAACACTTAACCCCTATGGGATGTGAATCCTATTGACTAGGCAAAAGTCACATGTGGAATAAGGGAAGTCTCTCTGTCTCCCAGTGTGCTGCTGCTGTGATTCAGTCACATCGGACCTTCTTTTCTAAGCAGAAACGTATTTGTTGTGGTTTCATGTGCCTTTTAAAAAGGGTTCTACTTACTACTGTAAACTCCAAGTGGCTTCCCTATTTCCCTAAGGTAGGGAAATTGCGCTCATTTATTCCTTATCCAGGGAGATGTAATAAATGGTGCAAACTGAGTCTCAAGAAACATTGAAGTCAAACATCACTGATACCTTGTCTGCTGTATCACTAGAACAACATAGGCCATATGGAAAATGCCAGCCTATGCAAGACATTGCCCTTCCAAATGGGGCTCATTGCCTAGCTAGGGAAGCAAAGATGCTGACAGCTAATGAAATGGTAGCTGTCAACTTGTAATGGTAAGTGTTAGAATTCTAGAAGAAAACCTTTCAGGCAAAAAAAAAAAAAAAAATTCAAGGAACTGAGAGACTAGAGCTGAGCGACAGAATTTGGGCTGAGTGAGGAGGCAGGATAGGTGAACAGGGAAGTAGATGAGGTGAAGCTTGCACATGTTGTGTATATCTGTGGCTTAACATTTCTGCAGGATAAAGAATTGGCCCTTCACAAACAGCTGGTAGAATACAAACCCCTGCCTTCCTTCAGTGTAGTTAGACACTAGGTGTCCAGAGCCTAAACTACGTTAGCTTTTCCCCAGCACTTCCACCCCTAAAAATTTATCTCAGGGAAGTAACAAACCCATGTTCCTGCATTTGTATTATGATAAGAAAAGTCAGGAAATGACTTAAGTTCATAGCGCTACAGCACTGTTAAATCAGTGTGTGTGTGTGTGTGTATGTGTTTGAGTGAGAGACAGAGAGACAGAGAGAAAGAGAGAGAATGAATGAATCATGTAGACCACAGTATTTTTGCAGGTGCTAAGTTTAAAAAGAAAGCAATCACCATCAAAATGCTATACCCAGTCAGGACATTCTCAATGGCATGAAACCAGTAAAATTTGTTAGAAACAGACCAGCCCTCAATGATTATGAGAGGAAATTCTTGAGACAGAAAGGAAGTGACAAAAGGAGACTTTTGAAACAGAAATAAGGAAAGAAGAAAAGAAAAGGCAATGAGGAAAGGCAGGTGTTATGAGCGTTCTGTCTCGAGTGTACTAAATCTGATGGCTGGAGCCAGATGCAGGCCTTCCGTGCCCCCGGTATGTGTAGATGAAATAATGGGAGGGGGAAAAAGGCTTTTAAGTTCTTAGGAATGGGAGATAAGTTTTTTATCTTTTGCTTAAAATAGTAAAATGGCCAAACAGGTAGGTTGTAAATTCATATGCAATACTCAGAACAACCACTAAAAACAAATCTGTGTGAGGAGATACAGTGACAAGCACTATGGATAAATAAAAGTAGAATTATGAAAATGTTCAGGTATGGATAGACGAGAGTGCAAAGAGGACTGCTTAACAGCAAGCGTCAACAACCAGAAGACCTCACTACTATGGCAAACTTAAAGTCTGACGTATTGATCGGAACCTTAAAAGGTCAGTGGTCCAAATGCACCAATGAAAAGAAAAGTTCACGACTTAACAGTAGACGTGAGTTCAGCCAAAAGAAGGCCAAAGTGACTATGGTAGTATCAGAAAAAGTCAGTGTTAGGCAAAAACAAAATCATCCGAATGGGACATTGTGTGGCCAGAGGTTCAGATCACTGCCAAGACAGAGCAACCCTAAAGGCAGCAGAGAACTGCGACAGACCATACGTACAGCAGAGACTGCAGACCTGGGAGAAGACAAGACAGAAAGCGCAGCTGAGTTGGAGATTTATACACTCAGCTCTTCCTGATAGAACACTAAGCACAGAATCATCAAATGTCTGGAATTAACAACATTATTCAGTCATTATAATATAAACATTTTCAGCATGGCACAATGGCTCAATCAGCTAATCCTCCCTTTAAAAGTGCCAGAATCGCACATGGGCATGGGTTCTTGTCCTGGCTGCTCTGCTTGCAATCCAGCTCCTTGCTTGTGGCCTGGGAAAGCAGTGGAGGATGTCCCAAGTGGTTGGGACCTTGCATCCACGTGGGAGACCTGGAAGAGGCTCCTGACTCCTGGCTTCAAATGGGCTCAGTGCTGGTCATCGTGACCATTTGGGGAGTGAATCAGTGGATGGATGATCTTTCTCTCCATAAATCTGCCATTCCAATAAAAAAAGTCTTTAAAGAAAAATAAGCATTTTAAGAATATCCAACAGTAGAAAAATATTTGTTCTTTTTGTATATTCACAAAATATTTGTCAACACAGACTGTATCCTGAATCATGGAACAATAACAAATGTAAAAGATTTAAAAAAAAAATACGTATAATCGGGCCTGGCGTGGTGGCATAGCGTAGTGGCTAAAGTCCTCACCTTGAATGTGCTGGGATCCCATATTGGCGCCAGCACTACTCCTTGCAGCTTCACTTCCCATCCAGCTCCCTGCTTGTGGCCTGGGAAAGCAGTCGAGGACAGCCCAAAGCCTTGGGAAGCTACACCTACAGGAGAGACCTGGAGGAAGTTCCTGGCTCCTGGCTTTGGATCAGCTCGGCACTGGCTGTTGTGGTCACTTGAGTGAATCATCGAATGGAAAATCTTCCTCACTGTCTCTCCTCCTCTCTGTATATCTGACTTTGCAATAAAAATAAATATATATTTTTAAAATATGTATAATCCCTCACCACAATGATTTATTTCAAGTTAGAAATGTGTAAAGAAAGACAGCAAGAAAATATCCAGTGCTAGGGAACTGAACAGCACACTACTAAATCACCTGTGAGTGAAAAAGGAGGCCTTGGGGAGCCTTGATACTGAGTGGAAGTGAAAATGAAGCACGTCAGAATTGTGGGGCCTGTCTAAAGCAGTGCTAAGATGGAGATGTCTAGCATCAAATAATCACATTAGGAGACAGGAAAAGCAGTCATCTTCAAAAATGGATGCAGGGACCGTGGCCTAGTGGCACCAGCATCCTGTGTGGGCACTGATTTGAGTCCTGACTGCTCTGCTGTTGTACCTGGGAGTGCGGCAGAAGATGACCCACGTGCTTGGGCCTGCTACACCCACCTAGGGGATCCAGAGAAGGCTCCTGGCTCCAGACCAGCTCAGCTTCAACAACTGTGTCCATTTGGAGAGTGGCTCACTGCATGGATCCCTTTGTCTGTCCCTGTCTGTCTCTCTGTAGCTCTGCCTTTCGTTCCAGTTCTAGTATATGTGCTGCCGAAGCGAGCACAAGCTCTGGCTTTCAAACAAATCAATCTTTTTTTTTAAACTGAATGTCAGTGTGGCCTGCATGTTTGAGCTGCCACCTGGGAGAGCCATGTCCCTTTCCACAGTCCTGTGGTAGGTTGGTATGTTGACTGCTCCTTATCCAGCATCCTGCTAACGGGGACTCTAGAGGCAGCAAATGATGGCTCAGATAATTTGGTCCCTGCCACCCATGAGGGAGACTTGGATTGAGTTTCTATCTCCGGCATGGCTGTTGCATGCATTTGGGAAGTGAGAAAACAGACGCTTGCTGTCTTGCTCTCTCTGTCTCTATGCTCCTCTGCATCTGGGTCTCTGCTTTGCAGGTAATTTAAAAGGAAATAGAAAAGGCAGATTGAGAGAAACCCAGTTTCTCAAATAAAAGGAAGAAAGAACAGAAATCGATGGAAAACAGATGCTATCATTTAAATAAAAAGCTTGCGCCTTCGAAAGATTAGTAAAATCACACACCTCCAGTAGGACTCCACGATTGCTGTGTGGCAGTAAAATCTTCAGTCTGAACAGACTTTGCTCAGAGTTCTGAATCTGTGCAGTAACTGTATTTGAGCCAGCACAGCCTGGTGGATATGGGCGGAGAACCGGACTTTTTTGAGTTAATACAGCTGTGTCATTTCAAACAGAGCCTGCGTTCTTGCAGTTCTCGGATACTCACTGTGGTTATGAGGGGTAGCATGTGATCTGTGGTGGAAAAAATCCCAGTTATTCTATATACAAGCAATATGATTTGCTACCTTGTTTCTATACAATTCTGTAAAAGACCCTGGGAACCACGTCAAATGTTATCACTGGGCCCAGCGCGGTGGCGCAAGTGGTTAAGGTCCTCGCCTTGCATGCCTGGGATCCCATATGGGCGCCGGTTCTAATCCCGGCGGCCCCCCTTCCCTTCCAGCTCCCTGCCTGTGGCCTGGGAAAGCAGTCGAGGACGGCCCAAAGCTTTGGGACCCTGCACCCGCGTGGGAGACCCGGAAGAGGCTCCTGGCTTCAGATCGGCATAGCATCGGCCGTTGCGCTCACTTGGGGAGTGAATCATCGGACGGAAGATCTTCCTCTCTGTCTCTCCTCTCTGTATATCCGCCTTTCCAATAAAAAAAATAATAAAAATAAATCTTTAAAAAAAAATGTTATCACTGATTACCCAGGACCACCTGCGCTTCAGGCTGCCCACCAGCAGTGTCTGTCTGTCTCTAACCTAGGCTATTACTATATTTACAAATCTCTGCAGCCTCGTTACCAGGCCAGCGAGGCTTTTTCCAGAAGTGTGCCAGTTTGATAGAAAAACTGCTTACCTCAGAAAAGGGAGCACAGCATATAAACAGGGGAAGACAGACCACAAAAAAAGAATAAAATACTTAGGTAAAAGTTTGACAAGAAATGTGACTTTGTGCTCTGAAAGCTACAAGAAAGTGCTAGAAGCAAAACAGCTGAATAAATTAAAACAACATCCTGTATTCATTTATTGGAAGGCTCATTCGCACAAACATGGCAGTGCATTTCCCAAATTCATTCAACATTCTCTGGATCCTAGGTGTATTCTTTTTTTCTTTTTCATGTAGAAATTGACAAACTGACTCTAAAATTTGCATGAAAACTCAGAGTACCTAGAATAACCCAAAGGATCTTGAAAAAGAAGCAAGCTGGACAAGCCGGCAGAGCTGCAGGATCATAGCAGTGCAGTGCTGGCAGGGAGATTAGCCTAAATTAGTGCAATAGGATTGAGAGATCAGAAATAAACCTCACCAGAAATAGCCAGTTGGTTTCCAGCAGGGGTACCAAGATAAATGGTAGGAAGATTAGGTCTTTCGACACATGGCACTGCAATAGTTGGATATCTACAGAAATGAAGTCGGGCCTCTTCCTTCCTCTCTGCATAGCAGTTCACTTAAAACTGATCCTGAACTTGGACATAAGAGCTAATTATAGAACTGTAAGTTAATAACAGAAGTAACTTCATAAACTTTTTTTTACTTTATTTTTATTACAACATCAGAAATATACAGAGAGAGAGAGGAAGATCTTCCGTCTGATGGTTCCCTCCCCAAGTGAGCGCAACAGCTGGAGCTGAGCTAATCCGAAGCCAGGAACTTCCTCCGGGTCTCCCACGTGGGTGCAGGGTCCCAAGGCTTTGGGCCGTCCTCTACTGCTTTCCCAGGCCACAAGCGGGGAGTTGGATGGGAAACGGTGCCACTGGTATTAGAACCAACGCTCATATGGGATCCTGCACATTCAAGGAAAGGACTTTAGCCACTATGCTATTGTGCCGGGCCCGAACTCTTTTCTTTTTTCCAAATAATTGATCCTATTAGGCTTTCATAGGGCTCTACACATTGGCATGTTTCACAAGGACTCCAGATGGTTGTAGGTTGTGAATGTAAGCAGAGTGTAAGAAAGTAATCTAAACATTCTTCACCAAAAAATTAAAAGTCATGTATCTGATCAATTTCCTTATATTAAAAGATACCTAAATGCAATATGGCTTTTAAAGGGAAATCATATGTAGTTCAAAATATTTATATATAACAACATCAAAACCTATATAACAAGGAGAAACAAACAGCAAATCCAAGTACAAATGAAGATATTTTTCTCAAGTGGCACATTTCATCGAGCATTCAAAACCACCAACTTTTTTGTCCTGCTCTTGTACATTATTCGGTGCCCACACGCTGCAGCTGACTGGATCCCTGGATTTTATCTCATTGTCCGTGTCACATTCTCCACAAATATAAACCACTGGCTGCTACTTGGGGCGTTGAACATCCTGCTGGGTGTCCATGGACCCGCGTAGCGCAAGGTTGTGCCTCCTTTGTCTTCATAAACTCTTAAGAGCTTGTGTTTCTTACAGGTAGCTTCAAAAGCACAAGTGATTTCTTAAAAGGAAGATGGAAAAAAGCATATATAATGGTTGAAATTATTCATAGGTTTCAAAATTGTTTCTTGCACCCAAACAAATTCATGCTTTTAATTCCATTTTCTCCCACAAGTACTGAAGAAGCCACGCATCTGATAAGGAGCCCCCAGAACATACCTAGAATTCATAGGAAAGCTCATTCAACAATAAAATATGGGCAAAGGAGTTAGATAAACATTTTTCCAAGTAAAATATATAAATGCCCAATAAACATATAATTACATGCTTGACATCATTAGATATCAAAGAAATGCAAATGTGCTAGTATGTAGAGACTTGTGTTACTAAATTTAGAAAAATGAGAAATGTTGTCAAGCATCTGGAGCAGTTGGACCTGTTCTGTGTTGCTGGCAGGATTGTAAACACAGTGCGGTTGCTTTGGAAATCAGCATTTTTCAGATTTTAAGGAGTTACCTCATGATCTAGGAATTCCTCTCCCAGAAAAAGAATATTCTTGGTCGTGTAAATTCATAGGCCAAAAGTGAAAGCCACCCAGATACCCATCAACCAACGAATGGATAAGCCTTACAGTAATCAATAATTCATATTAAGAAAAAAATAGTGAAATGTTGATAAGAAACTTGTCCTTAATAAAAGAGACCAGTCATAAATCCATGCTATATTTTACATTTATCTGCAGTGTCCATTCTGTTGTCTAAATTGTATTATAATTCTATTATGCAAATTAAAAGTCTCAGTAGGTGCCAGGGGCTGGGGAATGGGAAGATGAGGAGTAACATCTAATGGGTGTAGGGTGACTTTGGTAGTGATGAGTGTGTCTTTAAAATCAGTACAACTCAGTGAGCATACCAAAAATCACAGCTTTTAGGAAGACTTTGATGTTAAGTCTGTTAAAATGCGGAGAAAAAAAAAAAGTTTTTCCTTTCTTAACCAATAATTCTACTTGTAACAGTTTATTTTAAAGAAATATATTGGTTTGTTCATTCCGCCAGTATTTTTTCAGTGACAGTGTACTAGTGGGCATTTTTTGAACTGCTGAAGACACAGCAATAAATAAAATAACCCAATACAGATTTGAAGGTCTTTCAAGTAACATTCGTAATATAAATCTAATAATATTGAAAAACTGGAAACACCTGGATGACCTGGTGACAGACAAATTATAGGATGTGGAGGAATGTTATAATAGCATTTTTAAATTTTGAGTTTTAGCCGAATAGTCACTGACGTGAGAAAATTACCCTGCAAAATGGAATGTGTAATAAAGTGTTGTATATGAGGTGGTATACATGAGGGTGAAGGTAGCAGTGTTGGGTTTGACTCTAAAGCCTACCTCTGTATTGATTACTGTTTCTGTTTTATGTTTTCCTGGCTTTTTTATGTTTGCAGTAAGGTACATTATCATCATAATCCTAAAAACTATCAGCATCCATTCCCCAGAGTTCCCATGAGCACAGCGAAAGCACTGGACTGTTGCAGCCTTTACTTTGCAGCGCTTGGTGTAGATTTGTTTCCTTCGAAATGAAGAGAACAAAGCCAAAGAAAAAAATCGAATTTGTTCCTAAATAGAACATATTGTGTGTGTGTGCATGCATGCACATTAATGTGACTTTGGAGCTGTCTGATACGAAAGAAAATAGGAAAAACTAACCAAAAAAAATACCTACTCTTACTAGTCATGGTCTTTTGTGATATTCATGTTCAGTTGGTTATGTTTTGTTTCTCCTTTCAGAGTTTTTATAACATTAGGAGTTCTCTTTAGCAGCTGCTTGTTCTCTGCTAGCGTTTTAATGCATAACCACCTTCTGTCCTTCCCATTTCGAGTACCTTAAGATCACACAAGTGGGTGACTTCCTGATAGGTCTACAGGACAGGTGTCACGGACTTGGAGACTCTTGTATTTAAGCACTGCGCCATGCTGTCCGTTGTGAACCCGGGAACAATGCAGAAGGAGTTGTCAGTCCTTTGTGAATCAGACCCTCACTCGGAGACAGGGTCAGCATTCAGCCTTGTCCAGAGGTGCATGGTTTGGAGAAATAGCAAAGAATAAGCAAAAATACAGATTCCTGAAAGCAGTGACAAATGTCAAAGAGATTAAGGGAAGATTGAAGATTGCAAACTGCAATTGCAAAGTGCTCTGCTTCATAATATCTATCCCTTTTTATGTGCCTTTTACTTAAATTGTTTAAAATGTTGCTATTAAAAGGTAAAAAAAAAGTTGGTATTTTATGACTTAGTTTCATTTCTCAGATTTGTGTTTCTTGAAGCTAGGGTGTTTTCTGCGTTATTTGCAAGCTGGACACATCCAACACATCACCCTAGACTGACCGCCCCCAACAGTGTTTAACCATCTAATGTTTGGTCGTTGCAGGCAACGTGGCTTTATGGTATACAGATAGCAAGTTTACTGCTGGTCTGCATTCTCCAATTTTTTAATTCCATGATTCTTGGATCATTGCTCATCAGCTTTAACCTTTCAGTATTAATTGCAAGAAAACTTCAGGTAGGACTTTTGTTTTTGTCCTTACTCAAAGACTTTTTAAAAATTATGTGGTCATTAGACCTTATTTTTATACAGCATACAAACAAAAATTGATATCTAGATTCCCACTAAAAACATGAGTATCATCATTTGTTTTTTCTGTTTTAAAAAAGAAGTGCATATTGTAGCGTTCCTGTTTGAAGCTTCCTGCAGTCATGGGCCATCCCACTGGTTAGGCGTTTATTGTTTCTGTCTTCCGATGGCTAAGATTTATTGAGCAGTTGCTTATGATTATAAAGTTGTGCTGATTTGCTCATTGAGACATAACTATATATTTTTATGGGACACAGCCTGATGTTTTGGTTCATGCATATGTTAGGTAATGGTCAAATTAAGGTTAATTTTTGTGTCTCACTTTTAAGCGTTCATCGATTGTAGGAAGTGAGAGCATTAATAACCCTCTCTTTTAACTATTTGAAATTTAAAATGCATTATTTTAAATATTTCTCTCTCTCTCTCTCTCTCTCTGCCTGGCTTATTTCACTTGACACTCTGTCCCAGACCATCCATGTTGTCACGAATGACAGGATTTAGTCTGTTGACCGAATGGTACTCCATTTTGTGTCTCTGTGTGTGTGCACACGTGCGCGTGCACTGCGTGTTCTCTATCTGTTCATCCATTGATGGACATTAGCTTGACTCCAGATCCTGGCTGTTCTGACTAGTAAACATGGGGATGCAGACAGATGTCCTTTGATTATATGCTCATGTGCTAATTCATTGTTCTATTTGGGGGTGGGGAGAGGCGGATGAAAGGACCAGGGGTGGGTAGGAAACTTCCTACTATTTACCATAGAAACTATTCTAATTTACATTACTGTAAACAGTATGTAAGAGCTTCCCTGTCTCTACATACCTCCCTATGTGTGATTTTTTTTTTCTTGCATCTTAACAGTTGTCATTCTGACTGGGATAAAGGGTTACCTCATAGTGCCTTAAATTTGCATTTTTTATAATTAGTGATATTATGCACTTTTTCATACATCTGATAGATTTTTATATATTTTTTCAGATTTGTTTTTATTTATTTCAAAAAGCAGAGAGAGAAATCTTTCATTTACCTTTTAACTCCCTGGTGGTGTACTGCAGCCAGGTCTGGGGCTGGCAGAAGCCAGGAGCCTGGAACTCGCTCCAGTTCTCCCACCCGAGTTTCAGGACTCAGGTATTTGAGCCATTACTTGCTGCATATGCCGTAGTACATATTGCCAAGAAACTGTAACCAGAAATGAAACCAGGATTCAAACCCAGGTATTACAGTTTGGGTAGAAGTACAGATGCATACTGCATTGTATCCTCACATCTGGATATGTTAGTCTTCATTAAACAGTTACTATACATCCCATTAAATGAAAAGCCACAATACAAAATCAACAACAGAAAGAAAAATAGAAATTTACAAAGCCATGAAGTTAAATAACATGTTACTAGATATCACAGTCTCCATTACACACCTACTATATATCCCCTTAAATGAAAAGCCACAAAACACAATCAACAATAGGAAGAAAAGAAGAAATTAAAAATGCCATGAAGTTAAATAACATGCTACTGAATGACTAATGTGTAGCTGAAGAAATAAAGAAAATCAAGAATATTCTTGAAGAAAATGATGCTACTGAATCATCTATGATTCACTGAATAATTTAATTTCCTGTGGGACCAGTGTAATGCACTGAGCCCACTTCTTTCCAAGCTCAGTGCATACACAGCTCACTGTTATCCCTGCAGTCTTAATGTCTTTGCCACACTGTACAAAATGGCACCTGATGTGCCACACTAGAGTTCTTGATCTGCTGGCTGTCAGATCTGAGGGCTACCTGGCCCTATCTGGGGTGAAACCTATAGGAAGTCACATTGTTGCAGACCTGCTGAGCCAGAAATGAGTTCACTCCGAGCTCAGTGCATGCTCAGTCCTATCCCATGGCCTTTGTCTTTCTGGGCAAAATGGTGTCCAATTCAGCTCTATGGGGTGGACTAGGCTGTGAAATCCACCCTGTTCCCTCACCATCTATTGGGACCTGCTACTCTCTGACCCTGGAGCTCTAGGAGCTGCTATCTCTGTTCTTGATCAAACCAAACAGACCAGCAGGACTGGCAGTTCTTTGAGTTTACCTTCTGAGCTCCTGGTGAACATCCCTTCCCAGGTTGTTGCTGTGTATAGTTCCGGCTGCGGTGTAGTTCAGATCGCTACTGGCTGAAGCCGTGGGGGTATCAGTCACTGCAACACCACACTGTTGTTTCTACTGCTTTCCTGTGTCTGTGTCCTGGTCCCCCTCTGCTGTCGTCTGTCGGCTCCTGCTCCTGTTTCCTGGTATGTGCCCTCTCTGCTTCACACAAGTTAATGTTTGTTCAAACGTGTCCTTACCCCTTTCTGCCATCTTGATTCTCTTCAGCCCATTTTTATTTGGATTATTAGAGGTTGTGGGCAGTGAGTTGTTGGAGCTGATTATCAATTCTGGGGAGGTTGTCTCTTCACTCTGTTGATTGCTTTGCTCTTCATATCTCTTGTTTACTGTGATCCCATTTGCTTGTTTATATTTTGTTGCCTGTGACTTGAGTTTTTGTTGTTGTTGTTTCAAAAACTCTTTTCCCAGACCAGTATCATGTACCCTAGATTTTCTTCTGATAGTTTCCAGTAAATCTTATGTTTAAGACTTTAACCCATTTGAGCCTCCATGTAAAAAATCATCAAACAGTGATAGTTTGGTTTCCTCCTAATTTGGACGCTCTCTACTTCTTTCCTTGACTAATATCTCTAGTTGGATCTGCTGGCACTGTGTTAAATAAAAGCAGTATATGTGGGCATGCTTGCCTTATTCTGTAGCCTGTTTTATACAAGCTTTAATGGGTTGAGGAAGTTTTCTGTTTTACCTAATTTGTAGAGAGTTTGTTGTATCACGAAAGGATCTTGAGTTTTATCAAACACTTTTTCTGAATCTATTATCGTACGATTTTTGTCTTTAATCTTGTTACTGTGATGCATTGTGTTTGTTGACTAGCATATGTTGGACTATCTTTGCATCCCTGGGACGAGTCCCAGTTGATCGTGGTTTTCCATTTAGTTCAGTTTGCAAATATTCTGTTGGAAATTTTTACATCTCTGTTTATCAGGACCATTGTCTTGGAACTTTCCTTTTTGTTGTGTCGTTGTCCAGTCGTGGTAGCAGAGTAGTGCTGACCTTGTGGAAGAATTTCCAAGAATGCCTTCCTTAAAATACTGCAAGGGTTAGTGTTAATTCTCTAAGTGCTTGGTGGAATGCAATAGTGAACTCCTCTGATCCAAGAGCTTTCTTTGAAGGGAAACTTTGGATTAAAGATCCAAGCTGTAGTATGTTCTGTGATTTGTTCTATTTCAATATTACTCAATTTTGGTAGGTTTTATGGATCCCAAAATTATTCATTTCTTTTAAGATTTTCAATGTGTTGGTATACAGTTGCTCATAATATTCTCTTATGATTCTTTATATTTTCATAATGTTGGTTGTAATATATCTAGTTTCAACTCTGTAAGGGTTTTTTCTTAGTCTAGATAAGATTTATTGATTTTTTAATCTGTTATAAAGTCAGTTCTGTTTTATTGCCCTCTTGTTTGATTTAAATCTCTATTTTTATTTGCTTTACTCACATATTTATTATTTATTTCCATCTGATGTTAGGAAATTAGTTGGTTTTTTCCCTTAGTTTTTGAGATGCGTTGTTTGAGATATTTTGTTTCTCCTTTATTGACCCATTGTTTTGCAGAGGCATGTTGCTTGTTCTCCATGTGTTGATATAGTTTCAAAAAAAATCTTTCCTGTTTTTGACTGCTGGTTTTATTTTATTGTGATCAGAGAGGATGCTTAGCATGAATTTTTTTCTTTCATTTATCACTTGCTTTGTGATTAACTTGTGATGTGTCTTGGGTAACAGCCCATGTTGTAGGTGAAAAGAATATAAATTCCTCAGTTGTTGGATGAAAGGTTCTCTGAATGTCTCTTAGGTCTTTTTAGCCTTTCAGTGTTTTGTTGTGTATTTTCTCTCTTGGGTAGAGGAATTGAAATTCTCTACTGTTACTGTATTATAATTTGCCTCTGTTTAGTTCAATTCATGTTTGCTTTATGTATTTAGGTGTTCTAATATTGCATGCATATATTTATAATTGTTATATCTTTTTAAAAACTGTAAGAGTCTGATTTGTCTCATTGTGATTGAAGTCTGTTTTATCAGATACAGTTGTAGCTGCTCTTCCCTTGTCATGTCTTTGACATGGGATATTTATTTCTGTCTACTCACTTTCAGTCTGTGTGTGTCCTTGAAAGTGGAGTATCCCATAGGTAGCATATAGCTGAGTCTTGTTTTCTATCCATTCGGCTACTTTGTGTCTTTAAATCTGAAAAATGTAACCCATTCATGTTCAAGGTAATGTAGTGATAGTGACCTCTGTCTAGGCTTGGTCCTTTACACATGGAAGGTTAAATTATTCAGTGAATCATAGATGATTCAGTAGCATCATTTTCTTCAAGAATATTCTTGATTTTCTTTATTTCTTCAGCTACACATTAGTCATTCAGTAGCATGTTATTTAACTTCATGGTATTGTTAATTTCTTTTTTCTTCCTGATGTTGATTTTGTTTTGTGAATTTTCATTTAAGGGGATATATAGTAGGTGTGTAATGGAGACTGTGATATCTAGTAACATGTTATTTAACTTCATGGCTTTGTAAATTTCTATTTTTCTTTCTGTTGTTGATTTTGTTTTGTGGCTTTTCATTTAAGGGGATGTATAGTTACTGAAATGGAGACTACCATATCTAGATGTGAGGATACAATGTAGTATGTATCTCTAATTCCAGACAAAGATGGACTTACAATGAAACTGTGTACTATATCTTGACAATAGGATGCTGGACTCTCTGCCTTTGTCCATGCCCGCAATGATGGACATAGGACTGTGTATGAAAAACTATAGTAATGATACAGAGGAATTGGCGGGGGGTGAGAATTGGGGAGGGGATAAGGGAAATTCCAGGAGCCTGTGGAACTATATCATAAAATGATAATAATAATAATAATAAAGATTTTAAAAACAACTGTTCTCATTCATCCTTTAATTGAAAGTAAACATCTCTCATGCTTGAGTGCTTGAGATGTTGAATCTGAGAATGTTTAAAGTTATCTGAGGGTTCTAAGAAAACTTGTAGCGAAAAGCACAGTTTGTTTTTTTTTATTCTGGCAGGTCTTTTGAGTTACACCTATGTGATCCCTGAGTTAGTGGATACATGCTGAAACAATCTTTCAGATCACTCCCTCAGACATTCCTGGGGTAGACAGACCCCAGTGCCCCCCAGTGCCCGATGTCATGTAATCCATGTAATCGTGGAGAGCTGTTAAGACTAAGGAGCGAGTAGTAGGTTGTGTTTTGCACATATATGCATTTCCTCTGTATTGCATCATCTGGTGTTTTAAATGCTTAGGACATTTCATTTTGTTTATGAAGTTACATGTATAGATTGAAGAATTAAAACACAGTTCTTTTAACTTCCAGAGAAACCTGAAAACTGGAAGCTTCCTTAATCGGATTGGGAAACTTTTATTACATTTATTAATAGTTCTGTGCTTCACGCTTTTTCTCAACAACATTATTAAGGTAAGGTCACAGAATGACATATTTAATATGTTTCTGAATTCACTTAGGGCATTGAGATAGATTTTATGTTTTTACTTTTTAAAGGAATCCTTGCTTTATAAACATGTAGCATCACTGAATGGTTTCCAGTTTTGCCAAACAACCTCAGTTTTAACTTTGTCTTGGAAATAAGAATTATTTTATTGATTTCAGTTACTGATTTCTGTTAGGTCTTTCTTAGTTATGTTCTGTCTTGAATTCGACTTTAAAAGCATCAAGCAAATGTCACTAATGTCAGTGTTTTAGATAGCTTTCTACCCTGTGGTGTTGAAAAAGCCGCGGTTATTGGGCTCAGTTGAAATCACTGTCCTCGTTCTTTGATCTCAGCTGGAAAGATGGTTTGTGTCCGTTCTCGGTAGTTGCTTCCCAACATTTAACTGATTTAACAATGACACCCATTCAGCAGAGAAATGTATTCTGTGACTTAGCTTATATATTGCATGGCTTTGCTAAGGCATCTTAAGTGCCCTAGTGGAGAACTTGGTTTAAGCATGCTTCCTAATATTTAATACTGGCTTTAAAAACAAAACAAAAAGCAGACATTACGTAAGGGTAGAGTTCCTGGACTGTGAACTGTCCTTTGCTTTTGTGCTAGAGCAAAAATACACAGTGTACTTCTAGGATGACGTTACCCCACCTGGAAGGTTTGGCTCAGGATGGAGACCATCTGCAGAACATGCTCCTCCTTCCTAGAAAGGGTTAATTGTCAGAGGTGAAAAGCCCCTTCACTCAGCCAGCCTCACGGTGCGTGACAGTACTGGTCAAGGCAGTCAGCTCTCCTGGCAGATGCACTGAAACCCAGGCAGTACATCCTGTTGCCCCCCCTTACATATTCGGTGATCTGCAATATATGAAACTACTGGAAAGCTGCTGTGTAGGCCACATATTTCTGACTCCACAAGGAATAATATCTCTTGAAATGTTTTGCAAGTGACCTATCTTGAAAAGAATTAGAAAAAAACAAGATGTGTTTTTGCTAGACGCACATTCTCAGTTCTAGCAGTGTGGGGACAGCCTGAGAGCCACTGTTCCTTGGACTCTTACAACCCTAAGGATGGCATTTGCTGGTAAAATGGACAGATTTGTAGCTCTTCTCTAGTGAGCGTATTTTGTGTATTAACCTCAGTTCCAGCTTCATTTTTTTTATGTTTGTACTCCTGATGTAATCTCTTTTCAATTGCTGTTAGCCGTACATTTGAAAGTATATTAATTAAAATTATGATCGCTAATGGGAAGGCTACTGCTGTCTTGAGCTGTCTTTGAGTTGTGTCTCCAAAGCCAGACAGAGCTATTCCCATTCTTGTTTCAAGTCAGAGTGTAGATTTTCTGGTCTAAAAAAGAAAAAATTGTACTTGCTGGGCTTCAGCCTTCTCTCTCTTCCAAAAGCCAAAAGGCTCGTCTTTTACCTGTTTTGCATATTGAATACACACATAAATCTTTGAATGAAACTATGCTTTTTTAAAAAGAAGTGAATTTGAAAGCCTCTGCTTTAGGATTCCCAATTCTGAGCATTGCTGTGAACTCACTACCTCTATGAAATCAGACACTGAGCACACACACTGAATCAGTGGCAGTTACCAGGACACCGTGCCCAAGGCACTAATGACATTTTTATTTTGTTTTGTTTTCTCCCCTCTGTAGAAAATTCTTAACTTGAAGTCAGATGAACATATATTTAAATTTTTGAAGGCAAAATTCGGGTTTGGCGCAACAAGGTATGGCTGAACTGCAAAGCTGCTTGCCCTTGTGTTTTAAGCCAGCAGGGATTTTAAAACTTAAGTCCCCACTGAGCCTTCAACTAGTGAAGGCTCATTTTGGTGGGGGGGAAGTGTGATGTAGCTCCCTGTCCTTGGATTGAATTTAATGTTTTGCTTTCCCTTTGTTCCCCAGGGATTTTGATGCAAATCTCTACCTGTGTGAAGAAGCTTTTGGCCTCCTTCCTTTGAATACCTTTGAAAGGCTCTCTGAGACGCTGCTTTTTTATGCTTACGTATTTGTTCTGTCCATCACAGTGATTACCGCATTAGTTGTTGCCTTTCACAAGCTCAGGTAGGGCATATTTCATAAATTTTGCACCTGCCTCAAAGAGCTTGTTACATGCTGGAGAAATCGTCGCTAAGCTAGAAAGCAAAATGTCAGACACAGAACAGAAGTGTTGTTTACTGTAGAGCAGTAAGACTCCACACTCCGAGACAGCAGAGAGCAGGCGCCATCATACAGACTGGTCCGGGTTTAACGATCCATGTGTACAATTAGTAACAGTGTGGGCATGAGCTAGTGTGTAACCCGCTGGTGTTCTCCCCCTTTTTTTTCTCTGTGGATTGAGACTCCTAAAAGTATTTAGAGTCTTGTAAGAAACAGAAATAAGTTGAAACAACATGAAGAAGTCACACAAGGATCTCACGCCTGGAATATTTTCCGCATGTTAGCTGTCATTAGCCAATACGGCTGTTAGCTCATGAGCTCTCCTCGTTTGCTTCCTTTATTCCTTTCCTTTGATTTTCTACCTTGTTCCTCTATTTTAAATCAAAAAAAAATTTCTCCAGAAATATCAAGAGTTAGGGTTCATTGGCTCTCCCACATCTTGTTTCAAGATCACAGTGTTAGAATGGACCATAATTACTAGTATCTATTAAAAATCCTAACTAATAAATTCCAGTGTTTAAGCCACATGTCTCCCAGTCTATTGGAAAAAAAAATTAGAGAATATGAGGACTTTCTTGAAACTCGCAGAATCAAGCTTATGGGGTGTTTGCATTTACTATCGTGTTAAATTGACAGAAAATTAAGTGTAAGAAGTTGAGGCCACCATCATTTGTGAAAACTTAATGAAGCCCTCGAGGAATCCATTTTTCCTGTATCATTTCCTTGCCAGTTAAGGTGCTGGTGAAGTGTGAGTCGCGGCCACCAGAGAGCTGTCGTTAGAATGAATTCCAAACACTTGAAGTGTTTTACGATTATTAAGAGTGAAGCAATACTCAACCATGAAAGTATTTCACTGATGATAAACTATTTTAGTATCTTTCAGAAGTGTTCTGTTATACCTATGCTAAGATAAAACTTAGACCTGTGAAAATAGATGGAAATGATTCTAGACAGCCCTGATTTAGCAGGTGTCGGCAGGACTCTGGAGAGCCTGGGGAGCAGGGAGCCCAGTGGGCTTGCAGTGTCTTTGTGAACCCTCTGCCCTGTGAATCTGTGAGCCGTCTGTGGAAGCTGACGTGTGTAGAATTGGAGATTTTAGAAAATCTTTGTTGATCAGGTAGGGCGATTAGGAGTTTATTAGAGGAGTAAAGAACTGTAGTAACATACTATGAATTACATTTTAAGAAACATGAAGCGTATTTTATCAGTGCCAGGTGTTTCCGGTCTTTCCACCCATCTGGTTAACTCAGAGGGATCATAACGCAGTTCATGCAGCACATTTGCATCAGTGTGAAGGATGAGCGACGCGGGGTTCCCTGGGGCGTATCTGCAGGATGAGGGAAGGCCTTGCCTCTAGGCTGGGGCAGGCAGGAGGTGTTGCAGAGTTCTGCCAGGCATCCAGGAGAGGCAAGAGCATGTGTCCTTTTGTCTGGTGTCCTCTTTTAGTGTCAGCATAGGAGCCAGGACTCGGGTTGATATTCAGCAGTTCAATAAGGATTAGCACCAGTGGTTCAGAGTACCTTTAGAGGAGCATGTTGATTTCGCTGTGACTCCACAGTGGTGAAAGGAGAGTTTCTGGAGATGAGTGTTCTCTGGTTACAGAGAAGCCCCCCCCCCAATGAGTGAGCAGTAGATCTTGATCAGAGCATTGATTCTCTTAAACTGGAGGCCCTCCCTGATAAATTTCCCTCCACAACCAGCTGCGCAACATCTGAACTCACTCATTACTCTGTTCCCTCACGGCCAGCGTGTGCTTCCCGATGTGGTGCTTTAGCTCATGTTCCCGTGAAGTGTTCTTACAAAACCTGAGAAACAAAATGAACTTGACTTGAGTAAACTTTGAAATCAAATCACAAGTTTATAAGGAATACCTGGAAATAGAGGACTGTATTAAAAGCCGTTGTAAGGAGACAGCCAGTTGCAAAAGATGAAATACAGGACAAATGTTCATGTTACTTTTTACTTGAGAGAAAGAGGTACTTTAATGTTCTGTGAATGTTTAAAGAGCTACATGCAGGGTAAGCAGGGTGAAGGCTGTGGGCCTGCAGTCAGAGAGGCTGCCGGCCCACACGGACAGCAGCATGAGCTGGCTGCTGATGGTCGCCGAGGAGCTCATGGAGGTCTTACTGGCTGTAATAGCCTGAATGTAGCTGCAGTTGGTGAAAGTCATCTGTTGAATACACAGTTTGGGATGTTGGCAGGTCAAAAGTCAATTCATCTTTGTTAAAAGTTTGCAACACTGATAATAACTTGCAAAGCATCTTTAAAGATCTCTTACAGTCTTAGTGATTTCAAAAGAACTTCCTGGCTATTCTTTAAAGAGCTCATACACTTTAAATATATACCTACAATCTGTGAAATCTAATTTACACGAATTCCTGATACTGTGACACTTGTAGCCTCATCAACACGTTCCCAGTGAAGGCTGATTCACTAAGTAAACAATATACGTCTAAATAAGGTACCAGGTGCTTCTATCTTCTGTTAAAAAAAGATTTGAGTTAAGATCATTTATCTCGCTTTAATTGTGTCATGTTCACGATTTCATTCAGTGATCCTGCAAAGCAACAGTCAGTGGGCAAAATGGGAAGATGCACAGTGGACCTGAAGCCGGAAACAGCCTACAACGTAATCCATACCATCCTGTTTGGATTCTTGGCACTGAGCACAATGAGGTACTTGTATTTGACTTCACTTGATATTTGTTAGTGTAATTTGGAAGCAAACAGTCATCTTTCTTGTGGTTCCCTTCTGTATTGCCTTTTCCAACTGAAAAATATTCCTTTCTTTTTTTAAGATTTATTTGTATATTCTTGATGATTTTTACATAGTTAATTAGGATGATAAGGGTCAAGGATTAAAGGAATGTGGGTGAAGCCATTATTTCCACATTCTCTTTTTATCCTTCCTGTATCTGGAGGAAGAGGAGAGAAAAGTTGAGAAGCCACACCCAGCCTCCCAAACGCCTCTGTACCCTGGGATGGAGTAAAGTCGCTGATGTGGGGCATTCTCTGAGGGTGCTACTCAAGAGGTTTTGATAGTTCATCAGTTCCGAATTATTGCCCATCTCGCCACTCTAAGCACGATGAGATCTCTCCAGAATCCACTGGCTCACCTAGTCCACCTGAGAGTCTCCATTTGGCTGGATACTCACTGTCAACTCTTGGTTGGGTGCATTGATCAATTTGTTCTGTCCTCCATCCTCTGTTGTGTACCAGGTGTCCTCTGCAGGTTCCAGTGTGCTGCCACATCCTCCAGGTGCACCTGGATATGCTGTCCACTGCTCTGTGTGAGCCACTGAGGAGGCCCAGCCCTGACACATGCACTCCATGTTCAGACCATGGAACCTGCACTTCTCTCCATGGTTGGGGTTCTGAGTCCAACAGTTTAACTGGGGGTCCCCAAAGCAACTTCATCTGAGGTGATCCCAGACCTGATTCTTGTGTGTGCATAGCAGTACAGAGTCCAGCATAGTCTGTCACCCAAATCAGCCTACGCACACACTGGTAGTTACAATTGCTGGTTAGTTCTGCCTCCAGCCCTGTCTTTTATACAAACCAATAGGTGCTGCAGTCCAGCCTGATTCTGCTCACCACATACTCGGCCCTCACACAAACCAATAGACACTGCAGCCTACTCTAAGCAACCTGCAATAACCTTCACCAGGCCTGCCCTCTACCCTAGTTCCTGTGCTTGCCAGGATGCACAGCAGACTAGACCACTCTGTTCCACATGGCATTCAGCTCTCATAATATCAATGGACAATGAAGCCTAGTGCAACCCAACCAGCTCCACTGTCCAGCCCACACATGTGCTGACAGGTGCCACTCTGTCTTGTCATGCCTGCCCCAGTCCTGGTTCTCATGCTCACCAGTGGGAGTGGCAACCCAAGAGGGAGGTGCCTTACTGGACCTACTCCCACTCCTGGATCTTGCACTCTCCGGGTGGGTCTGTAGTTTAACTTGACAGAATTAGCCCCCAGTGCCAGCATCTGCCAGCTGATGCTGTGGCAAAGCCCAACCAACCTGCACCCACTCTGGCTTATGCTTTCCCCTGATGCAGTTCATGTGACCAACAGGGGTTGTAGCCCTGCCTGTCCTGGTCTGCCCCCATTCCAACACTCATGCTCATCAGTGGGAGTGGTGGTCCAGTAGGGGAGCCCCACACAGCTCCCTACCAGTTTTGCCTCCTTCTCCCCCGGTTCTCAGGTGTGCTTGTTGGGTACTGTTGTCCAATCTGGTATGGCCCACCTCACCTTGACATTTGCCAGTGGGTGTTATACCCTGACTGAGCCCGGCCCACCTCCAATTCCAGCTCACACTGGTGGGGGCTACATCCTATCTCAGCCCAGCTAGCCTCTAGTCCCAGCCCTTTTGTGAACTGGCTTGTGTTGTGGCTTGATCCAGCCTCACCCACACTCCATTCTGGTGCATGGATTCGCCAGCAGGTGATATGAACTGGCGCAGCCTGATTCATCCCCCACCTGTGCCAAATGCATGCTGGTGGGTATCATTACCTGGCCTGGTCTGGGCTGCTCCCTGTCATGGTTCTTGCACTCACCTGCAGGGACTGTGTCCTGACAGAGGAGTAGCCCAAACTCCTCCATCAGAACCTCTCCCAATGCCTGATCTTGCATGCATTGGTGAGTCCATGGGCCAGCCCTACTTAGTCCACTTCCTATCCTAGTCGAAATATGGCCTTTCCTGACTGACCCTTACCCATTCCAGTTTTTACTGTTTGGTGTTACACCCCATCCAAGCCTGCTTCACATGCAGGCACAGCTTACATAAGACTCCTCATAGTAGAGACCTAGCCCAGCCCGTCCTATACCTACCCTGGTTCTCACAAGTACCAGTGGGTGCTGGAGTCTGGCCCAGCCTGGCACACTCCAGACCCAGTCCACACTTGTGCTGAAGGACACTACAGCTGTGTCCAAACCATACAACAGCCCCCAATATGACCCTCACACTCAGCAGTGGGAACCACAACCCATCCAGTGCATCCCCTTTGCTCCCCAAGCTGGCCTGTTCTAAGCCATAGATCTTGCATGTACCAGTGGTTGCTCTGACCCAGCTTGATATAGTCCCTCACCTGTCTTGGCCCTTGCCTTTGGATGCTGTAGCCTGGCCTGACCCAGCCTCCCCCAGTACCAACTCTTACTGACAGGTGCTGGAACCTGGCCCTGCTCAGTCTGTTCCCATCCCTGGCTCATGCAAACCAGCAGGTGTGATAGCCTAGCCTGGCATGACCTGAGCTCCAGCTTGGTTCTGTACCTGCTGGTGAGCTAAGGTTTCTTTCTTTTTTTAATAGATTGCTGTTGTTTTTTTTTTTTTTTTAATTGGAAAGTCAGATATACAGAGAGGAAGATCTTCCATCCGGTGATTCACTCCCCAAGTGGCTGCAACTGCTGCAGCTGAGTTGATCCAAAGCCGGGAGCCAGGAACTTCTTCCAGGATGCAGGTGCAGGGTCCCAAGGCTTTGGGCTTTCCTCAATGGTTTTCCCAAGCCACAAGCAGGGAGCTGCATGGGAAGTGGGGACCATCAGGATTAGAACCGGCATCTGTATGGAATATCGGCATGTTCAAGGCAAGGACTTTGGCCATTAGGATACCTTTCAGCTGCTTTTTGCCCGGATTACAAAGGTTCCTGTATATTGTACTCACTTGGTAGTTCCCAAAAGGCAGTGGAATTAATAATGAAGCCTCTGACAGTGCTTTCTCACAGGTCATAAGGCTGGGTTTGCAGCTTTCTCTACTCAGCTGATGCACTCTGGCCTGTTTGTCCTTGCAGGATGAAGTACCTGTGGACGTCACACATGTGCGTGTTCGCGTCCTTTGGCTTGTGCAGTCCTGAGATATGGGAGTTACTGTTGAAGTCGGTGCGTCTTTATAGCCCAAGGAGGGTCAGTGCTATCCCTTTCTCCATTTGGTTAAAAAAATTGTTTTTGTTGTTTTTCTTTTTTTGAAAAGCAGAGTTAGAGAGGGCCAGGCTGAAGCTGGGAGCCAGGAATTCCATCTAGGTCTGTCAGCGTGGGGACAGGGACCAGCCACTTGGGCCAGCCTCCACTGCTTTCCCACGTGCATTCGCAGGGAGCTGGGCTAAAAGTAGATCAGCTGCGACTCAAAGCGGTGCCCGTATGGGTTGTCAGTGTCATGAGACAGCATGCCATCCTCTGCATTTTAGGATTCTTCAGTGTTTCATACTAACTCAGTCTGTTACTTTTTTTAGCAGTTAGCCATCATTGAATAACATGGTTAGTAAAATATGAAACTAAAACTAGATAGCTGATAAATTGAGGCTGTATAAGAAATTATTTTTAAGATAACTATATTTTGTCTTTAAAAATAATTTTTATCTTGTCTGTAACATCGGCTATGTTCATTATGCAGAATTTTAAAATACAAGGACACAGAAAGGGAAATGAGAAATAACCCAAAGTCCCTTTTTTTATCTAGCCTTTTAACTTTCATTATAAATGCTTACCTAAAAATAATTATTAAAAAGTGCATGATCGTGTTTAAAAGCCTGTAAAACACAGTTTTGAATTGTTCTGCCCTATAAATTCACTAGGTGGCAATATGGTAGAAGCTAAAGTATCTTAGCAGTGATTAGAATCCTGATTCTGGCTGGGCTGTTTTGCATACGGAGGCTCACGCTCCATTACATTGTATTTCTGTTGTTGTGGGGGTGGGAGTGGGGGGGAAAGCCCTATGTTTACAAAGCAAAACCCATAATCCCAAAACATGGAGAAATACTCATGATCTAAATAGTGTCTTTCTTGCATGTAGATATGTATAATGCGCTATTCAGTCCCGATAGCAGTCCTGCTGTACCTGTGCTACAAGGTAAGACTGCTCTTCTCATCCTGCTCATTCACACGTGGAGCACAACAGTGCTGTGAGGCAGTGTACTTTGTGTGTTACCTGGCGAACAGAGTGGTTTGTGGCATCTGTGAATACTTCCTTTAGCTTCTTCTCACAGTGGTGGAGAATAAGATGAAAATCGCTGTTTTTTTCCAAGTAGTTCTTTAAGTAAAACGTCCGTAGCAATAACTGCTACCATTTAGCCATTCTCATTGATTTTGATTTTGACCATTACTATTCAGCTAAAGCAAAATGTGACCATGTTTTCACAGCTACTTTGACATAGTAGAAAATATTTCTCCCATTACTTGTTCTATATAATACAGTGTAAGAGACTTCCAGATGTGCTTTCTTTAAATCTGTGTGCTTTTCTAGATGCTTATCTTTGTAAGAAAACACACACATAAATAAATACAGTCTTATCTGTTCCTCCACTTCCAGTTGGAAGTTGTAAAACTCCTGGTGCTCTGAGTTGACTGATTCCGAAAGTAGCATTAAGCATGCTTCCTTCGGCTCCGAGACTCCCCTGCCAGGGCCAGTGGCCGCTGACCAAGCTGACCACTGTGCAACTCTCAAGTCACGTCTCTGACCACCTTGGCCGGTAACACAGATTGTCTTACCCAAATGAGCTCTTGCTCCTTTTAAAGTTTGGATTTGTTTTCCTTTGTCTTATTTTATACTAGAATAGCAACATTTACAGTTGACCATGAGGAGCCCCTGATTTGGCGGGACTAGCCTTTGGGGCTGGTCCCCAGGGAAGGTTAGGGACAGCTGCAGCAGCTCAGCTTCTGCTGTCATTTGCATATATCTTCACATGAGATTTCATGAAGGGAAGGTTTTAGGTTGAAAAGAAACATTTGGTTTATGTTCTGTCAAATCCCTGACCATTAAAACAGTTGCTAGAGTGGGTAGAGCTCAGATATTGGAAAACATAGAAATAGATCTTTGCTTCCTTGTTGCTGGGAGTTTTATTGTTCTAGTGTAATAATAATAATAATAATAATAATAAGCTTAAATCCTGTGGAAGGCAACACTTCACTGTTGGGTACAGGGTTTGTTTAGTTAGGAGTCAGACACCTCTGCACATTGATTTTTAAGGCTCAGAAACACTCCTCCCAGAAAAAGTAACTCTCGCACGTGAGCCGCAGTGATCTTTTTGTCTGTAGCTGTAGGAGCCATGTCTCGGCTACTCACTGACATTTTCCTGATTTTCTTAGAAGCTGTCTGAGGTTTTGGGTCTCTTGTCCTTGATTAGAGAGATGAAGGCACTGTGGAAGAATCAGGCTGTGCAGGGCGTCGACTCTGCGCGAGGTCCCCGGCCCTGCGGCAGCATTCCCTGAGAGCGTCTTAGGGATCCAGATGCTGGGGCGTGCAGGCAGAGGGCCGGAGTTCATATCTGAACCATGCCTCCATCCACACTGGCGACCCAGCAGGTAGTGTGGGACCCTCACAAGCAGGGTCTCTCAGCAGTGCCCTGGGGACTGTAGGATGTTCCGCCACCTCCCTACTTCCACCCCGTGGATCCAGTCATTCTCCCCACTAATGCCACAACCACAGATGCGTCTAGATGTTGCCAGCCATCCCCTAGGGTCAGGAGGATCAGAATGCCTCCCCTCACTGCTTTGGGGAGTCAGTGCTACATAGATGAGCCAGTCTTACCACTCAGAACGGCAGGCCCAGGAAATCCTTGCAAATTTTCCCCAAGTGGGGGAATTCGTGTTCTAAGGAAACTTTTGAAGAAACTTCCCAAGAGCCTCATCCCTTCCTTGGTGCAATTACGGGGCTCCAAGAGACGCTGACACCTGCAGCTCTTGCACGGTGTAAGTCCCTCATCTCCTCAAAACTAGTGAAATAAAATCAGAAAACATGGCGTCATGTGTATGAAGGGTTTCTTTGAAACCAAGTCTATTTTCCAGTTATCGATGTGCAAGTCAGGTGAATTTATTTCAAATCCTGATTTGAGTCTTACCTAGCAGTCATAATGAGCGCTTTTCAGTTTCTTGTTCATAATACCAGCTTTGCTGTATCTCTCTTTGGGGTAATCCTATTAAAAAGGAAAGCATGTGCAGGTCTCCCCTCTGGAGTCAAGGGTTTAACAAAATTATTATTCTGGCCTTGATTAACTTATTTGGGCTGCTAAAATCCCACATATACTACTGATTCCTTAAAAATGGCATTTAGTTAATCCAGCACTTACTTTTGTTTATAGGGATTGCCACAATGTTCTTAATAGATTTTAACATTGTCAGAATTAATGCCACTAATTTTCAAACTGGAAAAATATATAGTATTCATGGAAACGACAGATTTCAAATGTTTTCTACTAAAAATTTCAGAGCGTCTTGTTGATGCTTTGTTGATTTTCAAAATCATAGGGAGAATGGATTATTGAAATCTTACAAAGCTATCATCTAATCTGAAATTTTTATTTCATCTCTTCCAAAAGCTGGAACCGAAAGGGCCATCGCTTGATCCCATCACCAGCAATTTTTCTGATTCACGTGCCCAGGAAACAAGAAGTGAAATAGCAGTAAAATTGGCCAAACATGAGGGAACACGTTACTAGGCCAAAGCCCAGCCATAACCCAGTCCCTGGTTACTTTGGTTCTGCCTAGTGGTTCATTAGAGAAATGACTGGATTTCAGCACAATTGAAGAGTGGGTATACTGCCATCAGTCTTCTATGCCAATGTGTGCAATGAATCCCACAGTCAACCTTAGGAAGTAGCTAAATGCGCAAACCAATTGCCATTTGATAGAATAATCAAGAATTAATTGTGGGATTAGATGGACTTAAGTTACATTGGCTGAGTGGCAGATTCAGAGTGTAGTTTTTCCATTGGCTCTCGTGGTATTAGGTAACTTAGCGACCAGGATGTAACAGGAGTGTGAACACAGCTGTCAGAGCACAGATACCCACTGAGAGTCCTACTCTCAGGTGACCAGCTGTATTCATGCACTCCAAATCACTTGATTTAATAAAGTCTGATCATGACATTATGGATTGAAAAGGGAACTGGATTTAAAGTCGGATCCAGCTCACAGTTAAGTGACATCACTGAGTCTGCCTCACTCATGAAGTGAGAAACCCGCTCCCGTGGCCCTGCTGCCTGAGGATGGAATGAGATTCTGTACCCAGTACCGTCTCCCACAGGGTGCCTTCTGCGTCCAGAGGTGCATGGCATGTTAATCACGTACCGTTAGCTTTCCAGTGGTTGGTACTCGTCAAATCGCACTCGTGTTGTACTAGATTACTAACACCCCCTACAACAGAACTTTTACCAGAGTAAAATCTCGTTTTTAAAAGTTGACAAACACCTCTAGTCCTGATTGGCTCCGCACAAGGTTAGGCCCTTCCCTCGCACTTCCAGCTCATTTGTGCTAAGAGAGCTGACACAGAGATGAAGTCGTCTTACATTCTAGTTGTCATATTTATTTAGTCTGTAATTTAAATACAATTTTGTTGTCCCTCCCACCTTGCCTTTTTTTTTTTCTCAATTTACTCTTAGTGGTAGTTGTGGGTATAGGGGTGGATTTTGTTTTTGTTTTTTGTGTTTAATTTCAGTTCTGGCCAGGAATGATGGATGAGCTGTCCGAGTTGAGGGAATTCTATGACCCAGATACAGTGGAGCTGATGAACTGGATTAAGTAAGAGGATTTTTTTTTAACCTTTAAAATTTTAAGTGCCTTTTAAGAGTCACTATAGACCATGTTTGTTTTCGGGGTTTTTGGTTTTGGTTTGTTTTTACCTAAATGTAAAACATTTTTATCGGACTCTTCTTTAAAACTGTATACTTTCTATTCCAGACATATTCTTTCTGATGGTATCTCTTGAAGGAAATACTCCTTTAGAGAGCAAAGTAGGATCAGGGAGTAGATTTCAAACAGAACTGGACGTGAACTAAAGTCCCTCATTCTCTCCTGGTTTTACCACTGTTTTCTTTTTAATGCCACTCACATTATCTGTTCATGTTGACACCGGAAGATATTCTCTTCCTGTTGATTATTTAAAAATTACACTTGAAACCCAGTTAACTGGAAGCAAGAGAGCTGAGTGCAGATTTCAGTTTAACTAATCATGTTGCCCACACTTAAACCTAGACAATTTGAAAAACAGACACTCAGAGCTTTGTCGCTCGGTCGCACTGCATCGGCTCTTACTTTGCCTGCACTCTTGCTCTGCCTCAGCATTCAGCATTGGAATGAGAGTCACGTGTTCCAAAGCTTTGTGGAACCTGCCTCCTGCCAGCAAAAAAAAAAATTAGCTTTTCTACCCAAAAGCAGCCCTCCCATGCCCGGCATGACTGTATTTTCCTGCTTTACAGCCCACAGCAGCCGTATAATTAGTCATATATAAATAGATGTTACAAATCTTAGGCAACATACTCAAAAAAACATTGGCTGCATTGTCTCCATTGCTTAGAATTTTAGTGGCCGTATTGGCACTTTGTCATGACTAATGTTTACTAACCAGTACAGTTTAGCACTGCTTGTGTGGTAAGAGATGGTAAATGTTTGATAGCGTTGGTCTCTTGAGTACAATACATGGATTTTATAGAGATTTATGTCTAAAATATATATGTGGCTCTGGTCCCAATGTTGGACCTGGTTGGACAGGATACAATAATAATTTTTCACATATTTCTAGCACTGGGAGTTGCTAAGCCATGCTTTTTGTTTTTATTTTTAAATCATGGTAAATGATTATATAGAGTAAATAATTCCTTCAGTATTTATTGTGTATAGGAATGTTGTTTGTAGTAAAGGAAAGCTAATTACTTTTGCACTAACCATAGTTGACTGGAAGTTTCTGACAAGTGCCCTGTGGGTGAGGCTTATATTTTCTGATTTTTTCTTTTAATATGATGCGAGTGACTGGGATTCCAGATCCACCAAGATTGGCACTGTGCCCACTTGCATGTCCACTTCCCAGCCTTGGAGTTCTGCACAGTAGTCAGAAGGGGATTCTAGCAGAGTCTGAGTTTGTCCTTGGCTCTGCCGGGCCGGCTGTGCTCTCTGCCTCTGTGCCGTTGTACTCGGGGAAGTACCAAGAGTGATGTTTTTTGGCTGTGAAAGGCTGTGTGGAAAAGGCAGTGTGTAGGCCAGTGATCTGGGACAGGACCGCCAGCCCCCACTGCTCCTTGACCAGCAGCTCCCTCCGGCTAATGCCTCTTAGACATACTCTCTTGACTTAATTCTCAGAAGCTGAAGGATTCCCAGTGTCACCCACGTTTGCTTCCGTTACAATCCAGTCTTGCCTGTTTTCCCCTAAAAGTCTTCATATCTAAATTGTCATTTTTTTGCAAAAATAGCTGCCAGGCATGTTTGCGAAATAAACTAAGTGATGATGAATCTGTGCCAAAAGAGGGTCTATTTAGACACAGAGTGTTTGTTTAAATCAACAATTAAAGCAGCTCAGATCTAGGCTCTGTGCTAAGCACAACTGAATGTACTTTAACTTTTCTTATCCTGTCCTGATTTGTTGGTTTGTTTTTATGATACAGTGCCATAGGCTCCAGGATTCCTTCCCCTCCCCAGTTCTCATCCCCCTGCTGATTTTCCTATATTATTAAAATAGAAAAGTTCTTCAAAAACTGACGTAAGTCCATCATTCTGCTATTTAACTGTATCCTGACATTGTAGGTATAGACAGTCACAGAGTCCAGCATCCTATTGTCAGGATATATTTAGCAGTTTCATTAGGAGTCCATTTTTGATTTAGAAGTAGACATGCACACTGCATTGTGTTTTCACATCTCAATATGATAGTCTCTGTTACACAGTTGCTCTACATGACTGTCCATGCATGTTGATATATCTTTTGATCTTGTATTTTGTATGCAGCTTGCCTTACATCGGGGAGAACATATGCTATTGGTCCTTTTGATCTGGTTTATTTCACTGAGCATAATGGTATCTAGTTGGGCCCATTCTATTGCAAATGGTAGAATTGTAAATGGTTGAGTGGTATTCCAGTGAGCAGATGTAGCAATTTCTTCATCCACTCCTCTTCCGACTGACATCTGGGTTGTTTCCATGTCTTCGCTAGTGTACATTGTGCTGCTGTGTCGACTGGTCACATAGTGCCTGTGCTACTAGAAGGATGGAGCAGTCAGACTCCTGGGGGCCCCAGGCTGGACATCAAAGTGGATGTTCTCAGATGACCGTCCTCTGTCAGTGCAGTCACGTTGGCCTCTGTGGGGGCCGTGGTCAGGATGCAGCACTACTCAGAGTAGTAGTAACGACTGGCGTGAGGTGCTGCAAGGAGCTTACCTGTCCTCTCTGCTTCGAGGACTTGACCCTGGAGCAAACAACATGCACACATACTGCAGAGACACTGGGCTTCTCCGTGGTCGCTGAGGGCATCTCTCTGCCATCAGGACAGGTTGAAGGATGCTGTAGCCTCAACCCCGTCATGGGCCCAGTATGATCGTCAGTAGGCTAGTACCTCCAAGACAGGTCCAGAGCACCGTACTAGGATGACATCATGAGAGCAGTTACAGCTGAGGAGTCTGGATTTCTTGATGATGTTGAAGCCTTGTTGTCTGAAGCTAGGTAACTTCTGAAGTCCTGTGCTTGATCTGTGTGCTTGGTCCTGGGCTGCAGGTGTTAGGGCACTGCCTTAAGAATGGAACCTTGAAGGCAAGCAATGCGTCTCCATCAGTGTAAACAGCAAACCTCCTCGCAGTGCTACTGGCTTCATTCTCTTCGTGTGCTTACTCTCAACTCCACTTGCAGATTTTTTTTAGACGCTTAACACGTTTAGTGGAAAAATTTGGGGGGCGAATTTGATTTTTAGTCATAGGGAAATAGTCTGTCTTCTACTCCTCCATCATTGCTTAAAAGCAAGGAGATTTAAATATAAAAGCACAGATATTCAAGAATTAAATATCTCCTTTTTTAGAAGGATATTTTTGATTCTGTAATTAAAAGCATTTTAATCTGCCAAGGATATTTTTGCTGAAGGTGAGTCCCCAGGATATGATCGCTCTGGCCACGCTTCTGTGAGAAGCAGGAACCCAGAAGGCTGTGCCTCCTGCACCGCAGCCACAGGCTCACCTGGCTGCCTGCCTCCCCCAGCATGCTGCGGGGCCACGAGCCTCTTGCCCGTGCTCCCAGCTACCTTCTTGGTGGGGATACACAGCTTGATACCCTGCTGTGTGGGATCCGGCCAGGCAGCATGGTGACAGATTTTGTGTGATTAGGCAGCATCCTCATTCTACAAAGCCAAGTGCGCTACCGGCCCTGGTTCAGCCCTGGCTCCCCTGGTCGATCTGACTTGCACCTGCTTGATTTCTGGAGCTTGTGCAGATGGCCTCTGTACAGGAGCAAGGGCGCACAGGCAGTTTCTTCGGTGGGACTGAAAGGCTGTGTACCAGATTTCTTTTACACTTTTCAGTCAAGGCAGAAACACTTTGTAGTTAAAACATGACGTCAGCCTGGTTCAAACCTTAAGTGTCTGCAAGCCTCTTTGATATTTAATGAATCATTTTGTAGCACTTGTGTAATTGTATCAATTTTTGAAGTGTAGATAGAGCAACTGTTCACACCTAACATTATAATGCTCAGTTTACCCATTAGTTCAACAGTAATTAACATGTTGAAGTTTAGAGCTTCAGAAATAAATGGGATTATTTGTCCAAAATGCCATCAGGTCTTCCTAGAATGACATTTAAATTAAATAATGTAGATCCATTTGACCTGTGAGTCCATGTCATCATTTAGTGACATTTTCTACAGAATGAATTGTTTGCAGGTTGGGCAGCCTGCTATGGAGCTTGGCAGAGAGCTATAAAAACAAATTATCCTTTCATTTCATACGTCATTTGTTGAAGCATTTGTAAAAATTGCTTTGTTTTCCCATAACAGAGAAGCGTCACTCAGTGGTTAAAAGCACGTTAGCTGCTCCAGAGGCAGAGCACAGCCTGTGGCGGAGGGATGCCTGGTGCCCATTTGTACCTCAGGACTGAGACTGCCTTGTCCCTCTGTCTGCTCCTTTGACCACACACAATACAAAATGCAGTAAATGCAGGTTTCTCCAAGTTTGGGGAAAAAAAGTGTGACTATTTTTCCTCTTGTTCTACTTTGCTTGTGGTCTCTACTTTTGCATTTGCTTCACTGTAAAGTTTAAATATTTAAAGTAGCAATGTCATGTTCCAGATGCACCATGAGGCCAGCATATAAAAACAGGCCCAACAGAATCAGTGTCATCTCTGCGATCCTGGGAAAGCCAGTTTTCAAAGTAGTATTTCTGACTCATCTGACAGATGTTTGGAAACTGGATTTGGATTACTTTAAGTAAAGCCAGGGTCTCAGAAAGAGTAGGTTAACTGTCCAAAGGATTATTGCATGCACACTTTCAACAAGTTGGCTATATGTTTTTTAGACTTTCCAACACACTGCAGAGAGCATACACCCACACAAATTCTAGTTTTCCCTTTCTTCATGCTCTCCCACTGCCTGCTTTTGGTCCACTGCTGTTCTGAGACCTGCCAGGGGTTAGAGGTGGGCACTACTCAGGTCTCACCTCAATGCCAGCACAGCTAAAGGTCTGTGGCAAACACCCATAACATTAGTGGCTTATTTGGCAGGGTTTGCATTTAACACGTGCTGAATCTGGTACTGTTTACCAGTAAGCTTGCCGAATACAAGTTTTCATCCCAGCCTAGCCCACCCAGCATAGTCGTCTGTCAGTAGTCCCTCTCCCATTGACACCCTTGTGGACATTGCAGTTCAGCTGCGTGCTACACTTACAGCCCAGGACGCAGACAACGTCCGCTGTCCTTGGCTGGGTCTCGATCAGCTGCCACTGCCATCCGTGTGGAATGCATACTGTGGACAGCTCTGGGCATCCTGATGCCGATCCCAGCAGTGCCAAGACAGGCTAGTGCGGAGGCCGGATGTTGGACGCCCAGCTGCTAGCTGTGTCTCTCCCGTGGGAAAAGCGGCTTGGCACCTTCAGGCCATCATGCTTCAGGAGCCAACATGGTGTGCCCTGTGAGCTCTTGCTTCTGCCTCAGGCACTGCCAGACCTGGGAACCACACTTGTTCTTTTTCTGCCCTTCTAAATCTGTCCAGTTCAGAGGACCCAAAGACAGTCACTTCTTGGCACTAACATGTGATTGTCATTGTATGGCTTCTTACAGCAGAATGCTGGATGCCAGCTGAGAATTCCTGCTTGTTCCTATTTAATACTCTGTAGCAGTTGTGGTACACTGGAAATGATGAGAATATAAAGGTCCAGAATAAGCACTTAGCTTTCTTTGAATTAACTGAATTTCTGAACAATATTTCACTAAGGAGCTCCATTTACCGTCAGTATGTTTCCCTGGAAAGCCTGCTCTATTCTGACCCTGTGGGACAAATGTCAGACTTGCAGTAAGGTGATGGTAGGAGAGGGACAGGGCAAAGGTGTGTACTTTTTGTCCCCCCACACCCAAGTGTCAGAGCCCGACACATGCGGCCACACTCAGGCAGGAAGTTCCCTCTGCTGCACCCACATCCCAGCCGGCCTGGGTAAGGGAACGTGCAGACTGCTCGCACTCATTCCACTCACCTGCCTTCTCCCAAACAAATAATGGAACATGAGGAGATGAAGGTGTCACTGTAAGAATAGAATTCTGGATTTTCCAAAAGTGAATTCTTTGTGAATGTCATGACTTTAGACTGCCTCTGTTGAAGGCATTCCCACTGTGGTCTTAGCATTCAGCTGGAATGAACAGACCTCCTGGTGGGGAGGCGTCTCTCAGAAACCTCAGCACCAGAGCACCCCTCCTGCCCCGCTCTCCGCAAGCATTGAGGAGCAGCTGGCCGCAGCTTTGTCTGCAGAGGGCAATGAACTTGGAAGATCTCGCTCAGACTCTTCAGTCCTGTCTCTACAGTTTTCACTCAGTTCCCGTTCCCACCCCAAGGGTAAAACTGTCCTACAGTGTTACTAGTCGGTCTAGAAAGGGAATCCGTGTTGAAAGAAGTACTAGAACAGCTGTTGTTTTCTCCACCCTTGAGATAACACCTCCTCGGTCTGTGACTCCAGAAAAGAATGAAGCCAGTGCCTGGGGTTTGCCCAGCTCACCACACCCCCAGTGCAGGGAAAGGCCGGCAGCGTTGACTGCGTTCCTGGAGTCTTCCCTCGCCGCCCACCACACCCCAGTCAGCGGTAGAGACTCCTGGCCTGGGAGAATTGGAAAGTGAGGTTGTGCTTTGACATTAGGGGGCCCTACATGCCTTAAACGACACGATACAGGCTTTGATGATCAGGACCAAAGCAAAGACATGTATGGAATACCATGTGTACACATCAGAAATACTGTGTGTCTGTCTCCATACTCAGTAGAAAAACACTCACTATGGCAGTGGCTTCTATTTTTTTTTCTGGTTCTGTTTTTCTTCACAGTCATTTATAGTGATGTCTATGGGATTCTGACCCAAACAAAACCCCTGGAATTCAACTCATGATCCCCTGCACTTCTTGGCTCGTTTGCCGTGTTTTACTCTAGGTAGCCATTTATTCAAGTCCAGTACAGAAAAGCAGCAGCAGGCTTTGAGCTCTTTCGGACAGTAGCGGCAGTGGGTAGTGGGCTCAGCTGGGAACCCGAGGCTTAGGGCCGCAAGACTCATGCAGAAGAAGGCCTCAGTGGGGAAGCAGACCCATGACGCCAGCACCATAGAGGTATCCCAACAGCTGCTCTGGGGACCAGTGGGAAGCAGTCACAGAAAGTTTTTGTAAAGTAGTTTGAGTGCAAATCGGGACTCAAGCAACCTCCTGTTTTGTTTGTAAGCTGTCACCACTCCCTAATGTGACTGAGTAATTCTTGAGAGTAAGAAAGATTTTTTTTTCATGTCTTTGAAGAAACCTTAGGAGTAGAGTTAATTCAGACTCTAAAATCCTTTAGGTCTAATACCCCAAGAAAGGCTGTATTTGCCGGAAGCATGCAGTTGCTGGCTGGAGTGAAGCTGTGCACAGGACGGACCTTAACCAACCACCCACACTACGAGGACAACAGCCTGAGAGAGCGGACCAAAGCGGTGAGAGCCCAGGCACCTTTTCCCACTTCCTGCAGAGCAGCCTGTGCTTGGCAAAGACGAAGCGTCGTGCTGACCCTCAGTGCGCAGCATCTGCGTCCTCTAATTCTGGGGTTTGTTGCTTAGGCTACAGTTTCTTGTCACTTGGAGGAAACACCAGAGGACCGATGTCCTGAGATGGACACAAGAAAGCATTTTAGAACCAAGCTGTCAGAGTTGACGAAAGAGGGAAGGAAAGGATTCAGACCATACTGGTCACATTGTTAATAGACCGTTTCTAATGAGTGCCGTTGTTTTACATGGATAATTCAGGAGTGGGCATTGTGCTGTAGTGGCATTTGGGGATGCCAGCATCCCAGAAGGAGTTCCTGGCTCCTGACTTGGACTGGCCCGTCCCAAGTGGAGAGTGAACCAGCAGATGAAAGATAGCTCTGTCTTTTCCTTTCTCAGTCATTCTACCTTTCAAAGAGAAATCTTTTTTTTTTTTAAATTTTGTTGGTCTTTTAAAAATATATATTTTCATTGGAAAGGCAGACCTACAGAGAGAGGGAGAGACAGAGAGAAAAATCTTCCATCTGCTGGTTCACTCTTCAAATGGCTGCAGTGCGTAGAGCTGAGCTGATCCAAAGCGCAGAGCCAGGAGATTCTTCTGGGTCTCCCATGTGGGTGCAGGGTCCCAAGGCTTTGGGCCATCCTTTGCTGCTTTTTTAAAAAAAGAAAAGAAAAAAAAAAAGAGAGAATACAGCCATGCTTAAAATTCAGGACATTCCAAAGGGAATCAGTGCAAAGTCCCTCCTTCCCACTTCCACATTCCAGCTACCGGTTTTCCTCTCAAGATACAAACAACGTTCTGAGTTTTTTTGAGTATTGTTAAACAGGTGTTTTATACACACACACATACACACTCCTTTTTTATTCTTTTGTATTCTTTTTTTAATAGCAAAAGTCATAATGTGTTAGTGTGGTTTTTTTTTTTTTTATTGCCATAACTAAATCCCTGAGAGCTAATTTTGTTTTAAAGCAAAGAAGTTTAGAGGCTAATAGTCCGAATAGCATGGCTGTGGCCCAGGACCCATGGCAGATGGCGAGGAACACCTCAGAGGAGTCTGTACTCGACACAGGAAGGCAGCAAGAGACCTGGGTCAGACTGAGGCACTTACAACTTCCTGTGCTGGCAAAAATTCACTCCAGGAGACTGGTGCTCCCTTCTGAGGGCCCCAGGGACTGGCCAGCTCCCACTGCCTCACCTCTTCAAGGTCGCACAGGCTCTCACGTGGCCATGCTGACAACCATGCTCCCCACAAACCGCACAAAAAACACACAAGATTTTATTTTTTATTTGAAAGGTGGAATGACAGAGATTTGCCATTTTCTGGTTTGTTTCCACCAATGACTGGGAATGTGGTGTGATCAGAGCCCGGAGGCCAGGAATGCAGTTCAGGTTTCCCGTCTCGGTAGCAGGAACCCAACCACATCACATGCTGCATCCCAGTGTATGCACCAGTGCGAAGTTGGAACCCAGGCACTCCAACTAGGGAGGCAGGGGTCCCAACCAGTGGCCTAGCTGCTGGGCCTAATCCCCAGCCCTCAGCCGCGCACCCTCTTGGGGAAGCATTCTCAGAACTGGTCTACTAGAGAATATAACTCAAAATAACGGATTCTATATTAGATGCATTTGGCACTTCTCACAATCTTTGCAGGGTTAATAATCACTGTGTCCAGGCATGTTTCAGGAATGCAGAGGAGGGAGAGTGGCCTGGGCCAGGAGGGAGGACACCTGTGTGTTTGGCTCTTCCATTCAGCCCGCTGTGGGAGGTTCCTCAGATCATAGCTATTGACATGTATTTTACTCTGTTTTCTCCTTATTTTGCAGGTTTACCAGATATACGCAAAAAGGTCTCCAGAGGAAGTGCATGCCCTCCTGAGGTCTTTCGGCACAGATTACGTGATCCTGGAAGACAGCATCTGCTACGAGCGAAGGCACCGCCGGGGCTGCCGGCTGCGGGACCTGCTGGACATCGCCAATGGACACGTGAGCACGATCTCTGGCCGGCCAGGGAAGCTCCGGCTCGGCAGAGTTCCCACTTAAATCCTAAGTGACGCAGACATCCTCATACTTCATTTCTGCAAGAATTCTATTAGGCATCGGGTTTTCCCTTTCCCTTTCCTCTGCAGAATTCCTCTCTCGGCACTTGAGCACTGTACTTCAGAATGCTTTTACATTTACCAAGCCGAGTTCCATCTGCTGCAGGGCCTTTGCCCTGGTCCCAGGAGCTCATATGGTCTCACACCAGTGCGGCTCCCCAGTGTTCCCGCAAGGGAGTTCCTGCGCTCGTGCTTTCCCATTGCCACTGAATTCCTAGCTTTCTCACACGATTACATTTGGTTATGATTTTATACCGATAGTTTCCCAGCTTCCTGCAGATTCGTTTTTTTTTTAAGATTTTATTTTTATTGGAAAGGCAGATATACAGAGAGGAGAGACAGAGAAGATCTTCCGTCCCATGATTCACTCCCCAGGCAGCCGCAACGGCTGGAGCTGAGCCAGTCTGAAGCCAGGAGCCTCCTCCGGGTCTCCCACATGGGTGCAGGGTCCCAAAGCTTTGGGCCGTCCTCGACTGCCTTCCCGGACCACAGGCAGGGAGCTGGATGGGAAGTGGGGCCGCCAGGATTAGAACCGGCACCCATATGGGACCCCGGGTGTGCAAGGCGAGGACCTTAACCACTGTGCCACCGCGCCGGGGCCCCATCCTACAGATTTTCTTCCTATGCACTGTTTTATAATGGACTAGGTTTTGCTGTTGAAGGTGTTTGTTTCACTTGAATGTGGACTGTGCCCGGGATTATTGGTTTGTCTTTGGTCCTGGGAGGGCCCAGCCGTGAGCCGTCAGCAGTGCTGGCAGTGGCTACCATTGTCTGGTCTGCAGCAGCTTGTGGAGGCAGTATGTGATTTTAAGTGGATGTGAGCGTCTAAAGGGGTGTGTGTATTCAGTCCTTACAAAGTTGAGGATTAGTCACACGAGGGTTTTGGTGACTGTAACCATGTCTGTGTGCTGTGGGACACAGAGAAGCCAGTCCCCTTGTCCTACCAGGCAAGCAGGAGTAGTGCTAGGGCTTGTGGCACTTATGCCTGTGGTACTCCTGTAAAACTGCTGCCTGTGACACAGGCATCCAGTATGGTCACCAGTTCAAGTCTTAGCCACTCCACTTCTGATCCAGCTCCCTGCCAATGTTCCTAGGAAAGCATTGGAAATATGGACCTCCTCTGTCGTGGATATGGAAGACCTGGGTGGAATTCCAGGCTCCTGGCTTGGCCTGGAACAGTATGGCAGCCATTTGGGGAGTAAACCAGGAGATGAAAAATCTGCATGTATGTGTGTATCTTGCTCCTGTGTAACCCTTTCAAGTAAATAACAAATCCTTAAAAAATTAGTCCTGGCCCTTTGGGCTGTGTGATATGCACAGGACCTTCTCTGGGCCCTGCTGTGTGGGCGTGACTAATGTTGGGGCCTGTAAGTAACAAGATCTCAAGTCCCAGCGTTGGGAAGTGTTGTGAGGCCACCTCCCAGTCCCACAGGGTAAGGACAGGTTATGCTGAGGATCTGCAGGCAGGTTGGGGCTAGAGATCTGAAACGCGAGCATCTTCTTCCCCGGGTCATGCAGGGTGTGTCTGACTCTGAGGAAGGCAGAGTTGATAGTCACGATCCTGAAGCCTCAGGAAGCAGTGGGGTCCTTACCCAGACCACACAATGGGATTGTGGACTGGAGGAGAGGGGTGCAGGTGGGTCTCTCCACATCGCACAGGTGAGTTCCAGGTACTAGGGGTTACAGCAACAGCACTCACTGGGTGTGGAGGGGACTGCTCCTGTGTCTACAGGTGAGCAAAGAGGATGCTAGGGCTTGTGCCCTGGCCCCTCAGCACCCCGTGCTACATAGAAGGGATTGCATAAGGGCTGCTGCTGGCAGCTAGCCCCAAGACACCCTGGAGAACTTCCCTGGAATGCACAGAGCAGGCAAGTGGAGCTCCACGGCTTGCGTCCAGAACTCCTGCAGGTGCAGGATCCACAAGTGCCTGCTCTTCTGTAGCTGAGGGACAGCTTGCTTCCTCCTAAGATAGCTGTGTAGCACCTGCTCAGCAGTGGCTCAGGATGGGCAGCTCGGGGGCAGGAGGCGGCAAACTAATTGCTGGCTCTAAAGTCAAAGCAAGGACGGCTGTAGTTAACGGCTGCGTGTCCCAGGGGTGGTGGTGGCCATGACACTCTGCTCACCGTTTTCCAGCAGGATCGCATCCCCTGGCAGGGAACCTGGTGTCAGAACAGTGGGCTGCAAGCCTTTTCCTCACTCACTGGGCTTCGGAATCGCTGCTGCTGGCAGAGCTCCTCACTTCTTCACTGAAGCTCTTCCCTCAGTCCTCCTCAGGACAAGATGGCATCCTTGGCCAGGGAGCCAGTGCAGGCAGCGGCAGCAGGAGCGGCCTCTCTGTCTCTCTGCTGTCCTCAGGATGCCCGATCTTACTTGCGGCTCTTTGTCACACCTTCCTTCCCTCAGCCCATCTTCTGGAGTGTGGCTCCTGTCACATCTTTCCTGAAGCTTCCCCTCGGTCCCTCCCTCATTGCCCTGACCTGTCTGGCTGCGGTGGAGGCAGCTCTTCCCTCTGGCCATCCTGATGAGCTGCCCACTTTCTTCCTATTGAAGATTGATGACCCCCACAGGGTCACAGAAAGATGGGGGAGTTCTAGGCTCCCAGAGTCACATTGAACAGAGCAGCTCTGCCTGAAATTTTTACATTCTGAAACATTTCACAGCTGAAAGCAAACCCTGCCCGTTGCAAGGTCCTGAGTTGTCATGCCTGAGTGACTGACAGGAGGGCCACACCTCCAAGGTGCTGACCCACTCTGCTTCACTCTCAGGTGGCTTATGTAGCCAAGCACTCCAGAACAGAACAAAATCAAGTTTTTTCTCCTTTCTCTCCTCACGGGGAAGAGCTGTTGTGTTTATGCCAGGTCTCCAAGCGGTCTCCACCCGATAGAGGTGTGCTAGTGTGGAACCGATGGGTATTTGTAAGTTAATGGGACAAAATGAGCAACCTAGCCTGAACCCGATGGGGAAGGAAAAAACTCCTGACTGTACAGATTTTGAGATTCAGGATTTTGGCCCAAGGAAAAATGGCCAGTACTTACCTGTCATTGAATTCAGAAGCTGTAGCGACCAAAGGCATGTGTCTGTGTTGCTCTGCATGGCCATCTGAGGTGTAGGGAGCCTGCTCAGCTTAGCAGCACGCATCAGCTCGTCATCAGAGGACAGCACTGCTCTCGGAGGACGGGCAGGCTGCTGGCTTTGCTGTCAGGGGGATTGTTGCGGGACCCCGAGTTTTCTAATCAACTTTGCTCTTCGAAGGGGTGCGGGGACGGGCCAGAGGCTCTCCAGGCAGCCGGTGACATGGACAGGGGTCACCAGTGCAGCATGCCTGGGGAGACGAGATTGAACTAGTTCTGCTTCATCTATGTCCTATAAACATGTCATTCTTTATCACCCCAACCCGCCCCAAACTGGATCTGGGTTTGCTTTGGTTGCAGACGATGGATGGCCCGGGAGACAACGATCCCGACTTGAAGCCTGCGGACCACCCTCGCTTCTGCGAAGAGATCAAAAGGAACCTGCCCTCCTACAAGGCCCACTTCACCCGAGTGTTCCAGAATAAGACCTTCCACGTTTACAAGCTCTCCAGAAAGAAGTAACGGATTCCTGCCAGTCCTGCTCTGACACAGCGAGACCGAGCCGGCGGCGTTTCCCATGGAGTAGGCCACCCGTACCTGCAAGCTGTGAGGGTGAGTCCTCCAGGGGTCACACGGCGCTCGCCGTCCGCGGAGAATCTTCTTGCAGCTGACGTCTTGCCTCTTGTCCTTTCCATCTTCAAGCTGAAGTCTCGTCTCTTCCATTAATGTTCTTCAGCTTCTCTGTCCACAGCATCCCGAGGGTGACCAGGAATTCGTGATTGTTTTTGGAGGAAATACTGTGTGTTCCGTGGCTAGTCTGGAGAGGCACGCAGGAGAACTGGGCGGCGAGTCTGACCCAGATCTGAGCTGCCTTTGGCTCTGTTGACAGAATCCTGCCATGGCTGCACTGTACACAGGGACGCCTCACGGAGTTACTATTATCTCACAAGGGAAGACCAACTGGTGGCTTTTTATTAAGATTTTTATTGTCCTGCTTCACCTTAAAGTTTTATCCTTTTCAGTCATGTTTTTAACATTAACAGCAGCAACAAAATCCACATCACGCTGGGTCTTGGCGTAGATCTTAAACGTCTCGTTGCTCTGTCTGGATGTCATGTACAGCCATCCAGCACCTGTGCCGTGTCTTACTCCTGGGCGCAGGGGAGTGCTGCAGGCTCGCACTGTGAGCCCTGCACGGGCGGGGAGCCGTGCGCTCACGCAGGATCTGTAACCGGTCAGTGTTACCTTTAAAACCTAGCGACGCTCTTCAACCTCTCCCGCAACTAAAACAATTTTGCTTTATTTATTACTCATTTCAATGTACTAGGTTTGCAAAATTTTGTAAACTTTGTGTTTTTAGCCTTTGTATTTATTTATTTTTTTTTTTTTACAGTCTGGATCCTTGCAAAGTCTGAGTATTTTTTTAAATGTCGTGTCTTAACCGGTTCACTGACACCGTATTTTCAGCAGCCTGACGCGGTCTCCAGCCTTCCCGCAGGGCCCCTCTGCCCCCCGTCCTTGCTAGAAGGTAACCAAGTGCCTCTGCGCCACGCTCATTCGTAAACAGTGAAGAGGACTGTGTGGACCTGCTCAAAAATTTTTGATAACTGCTTTTATAACTCCTTTCTAATGACGGGAACATGTAAAAGTTTCGGATAAACCTGTTGTCCATTTAATTAAGTCAGGACGGCTAATGAAATTAACTTCCGTCTCCTCTTCTTACCAGTTGGAAATGATTTAACCGTTTCTCCTTGCAGTTGTGTGTTGAAGTAAATTAGTGTCGACACCAAGATAGATCCATCCTGCACTCCCATGATTTTATATTCAGTACAACTCACTAATGAGCATTCAGAAAATTTTTATACTGTCATGCTGGAAGCAAGGATACTCAGTTTTTTATCAAAACTCATTTAAAATAAAAGCTGACAGTAACTGGGTTATTAAATTATGAAACCGAAACCTTCTAGATTATGTATTTCCTGTATCCCTTAATAAGGTTGGAGACCACTGCAGTTTAGGATAATACAATAATAAAACATCTAATCAGTACTGAGACGCTCATTAAGCCAGTAATGACGCATGCCTGTTGTAGCTGACAGCACGGGTCAGTACAGCGAGTGCCTTACTCTAATTCAGACCAAGCACATGTAAGGTACAGTACAATTAGATGATGTGGTTTGTTTGTAAAATCCTCACTTTTCGGGACACACTTGCATTTAGTTGAAGTATTCCTGTATGTGTTAATGGAAGCATTTAGATATTTGCAGTCTCCTTATCCAAGGATCAGACACTTGGGTTTCTGCGCACTGATGGCCGAGGGGACTTTTTTTTTACAGTTTAGATACCCGTGTTGCCAAAACATTCAGTGTTCAGTCTTTAGTGAAAGATACAAAGTGCCAAAAAAAAAAATCTGTGCAAGACAGAATCCATACATAAGCTCTTTCCAAGACACTGTGACCATGTACAATAGAAGTTTGCTTCCTGTTGACCAAATCTTTGAGTGAATCATGTTTCATCAGCGTTGTCTTTCATGGCCTCCTCCTCGGAGTGCACAGGTGGAAAGACAGGACAAGCGCATCCCTCCTGGCCCTGGTTACCAGCCTCTGCCAGGCCCTGGCAGAGCCATGGGGCACACGCCCCCCCGACAGGCCCTGGTATTCAACTCAGACAGGGCTCTGGTTTTTATCTGTAGAAAAACCACTTGATTTTGCTTCTCAGCAGTCGCAAGAACCTCTGAGTCCCACAGAAGTGCTCTTAACTGACTCCCCAGATCCCTGAAGTCTCCATCCTGCACCGTTCCTCCCACACTCGGCTGACCCATGCACACTCCACTTCTGTTGGCACACACGGCTCAGCTGACCATTTGCAATAACTTAGGACATATGAAGTTGAAGGGAACAATATCTGTAAAATAAAATGCTTTGGTATGATTTGATAAAGACTGAGTAGCTAATAAAAGTTACTTTGAAGGAAGGAAATTTGGAAGGAAATTTGACATTGGGAAAATCGTGAAATTGGTGAAAGGGAGGGATCGAGATCAAGACACTTAGGACTTTTGCTCCCTAGATTTATCTTCTCAGGCCACTGTAAACAAAATCGAAACCAACGGGGGAGATATCAGAAAGCACCCCAAACAATGTCATCGGTATGACACAAGAAATAGAACTGTACTTATTGTCCTGACGCAGAAGACCATCCTCCCTTCAGAGCGGAAGTCATAGCTGAGGTAGCGCATCCCTCCTTCAACCATCTTCCTGTAGTAAGTGACCTGCTGTGACACTGACCACAGTGGCTGCCAGAGTCCACTCGGGCTGAAGGAGCCCAATCCTGTGGCGGGCTTTCAAAGACGACAGCCATTCCAGATGTGATATCCAGGCCATTGGTCATCTCGAAAAGATGCCGTGTGCGCGTACGTAGACATGAGGCCGTGGGCGCGGGCAGATAGCATATCCGGTCTGCGTCTTTATCACCATTAACTGACAATTTTTTATTTTTCTGACTAACATTTTAGCTCATTTTTGGCCAAAATTGACCCGAATTAATAAATTTAAAAACTTTAATTCAGAGCTTGGAACTAACGGGAAGGTGTTGAGAATCTTCTCCTAGAACTTGCTTTGCCCATGACAACCTGCTGGCCTGGGGGAGAGTGCTTGTCAAGAACTTTTGAGACAAGAGGGGAACTTTGCTGTTGGGATTGATTTTGTGTTTTTAACATCTTACAAAGAGCTTTTATAATTTGTTGTACTGAATTGTATGGAGATTATATACTAATAAAGCTCTTTTAAATTCCACAAGACAGTGGTCTGTCATCTTTGTATTTTCAAAATAAATTTGTAAAAGATTTATTTATCCACTTGAAATCAGTTACAGAGCAAGAGAGCTTCCACCTGCTGGTTCACTCCCCAGATGGCTGAAATGGCCAGGGCTGGGCCACAGGTCAAAGCCAGGAGCCAGGAGCTTCATCTGGGTCTCCCGCATGGCTGGCAGGGCCCTAGGACTTGGGTCATATTCCACTTGCTTTCCCAGGCTATAGCAGGGAGCTGGATTGGAAATGGAACAGCCAGGACACGAACTGATGATGCCCATATTGGGGGTGGTGCAGTGTCCCAGGTGGCCCAAAGATAAGATTTTTAATTTACATTAAACTCAGTAGCTTAATGTTCCACTAAATAAAGAGCTCAGCAAATAAAAAGAACATAGTTCAGCAGAAATACAGGCAAGAGCTGCAAACAATAGTCAGATGTAAATTTTGTTTTAAACCTGACAAGTAAATTAAGAAGGATATGCTGCCATATGTTTTAATGATCTGTGAATATTAAAATGTCCTGTAATGAGTGTAACTGATGGCTGCCATTTTTTAAATGAAGGTCAGAAGCCAAGAAATGTTTGACTGAAGCACGCTGGTCATGTGCGGAGACAGTCACACCATAACGGGGTTGGTGTTGTGGTGTCGCGGGTCAAGCCATCACCTGTGACAGCAGCCTCCTCTACAAGTACAGGTCTGAGTCCCAGCTGTTCCACTTGCAACCCAGCTCCCTGCTGATGTGCCTGTGAGGGCAGCAGGAGATGACCCGAGTGCTTGGGCCCCGGGCCCCTGTCACCCACACGGAGACCTGAGTGGAGTTCCACACTCCTGGCTGGGGTTCCACATCTAGAAGTGAATGGGAGATGGAGATCTGTTTCCTGCATCTGTCCGCCTTTCAGATCTTTCTCTTTTTGAGAAGACTTTTTTTTTTTTTATTATTGGAAAGGCAGATATACAGAGAGGACAGACAGAGAGGAAGATCTTCCGTCCGATCATTCACTCCTCAAGTGAGCACAACAGCCGGGATTAGAACCGGCACCCATATGGGATCCTGGGCCTGCAAGGCGAGGACCTTAACCACTGCGCCACCGCGCCGGGCCCTTGAGAAGACTTTTAAAGAACATTTGGAAAGGGATTCAAAGGTCGCAGAGGGTCTTTGGGCAAAAAAGAGGATACAGCTAAGCCACTTCTCATTATTCAAAGAGGCAGAACTCCAAGCTTATCTTAACTAGTGCTAACCAGACCAGTGAGCCAAACTGTCGGAGCTATTTCAGAGACCAGCCCAGTTTTACCCCCAAGCCACCAGATAGTGCATTAGTGTTCTGTGACCATGTAACAACCACCACCGTAACACCGCAGCACAGCACCTGTGGGCTAACTCAGAGTTGACGGGTCAGGTGGGCACTAGGCTGTCTTTTGCATCTCCTAAGGTGCCATGCAGATCCCTCTGCAGGTTCGAGACCTCTTCAAAGCTTCCCTACGTGGTAGAATTCAGTGGCTTCCGTTTGTACAACTTAGGCCATGCTCTTCTGCCTCTTCAAGCCAGCAGAAAACTGTAGGAAAGGTCCAGTTCTCACCGAAGGGCCGTGTCCACCCACGTTGTCTCATTGCTACCAGCTAAAAGCCTGCTGCTTTGGGACCTGGTCGGTGCCTCAAAGTCCCTTCAGCATTGCTATAGAATAACACCCTTCAAACTCACCATCCTACTCGTATTCACACGGAAGGATGGGGCTCTTGGGTACTGTCTTAGAATTATTCTCACTACAGAGCACTTTAAAAGCATTGGGTCTTGGGCCCGGTGCAATAGCTCAATTGGCTAAATCCTCCACCTCCAAGCGCCAGGATCCTATATGAGCACCAGTTTGTAGCCCAGCTGCTCCACTTCCCATGTAGCATCCTGCTTGTGGCCTTGGAAAGCAGCAGAGGATGGCTCAAAGCCTGTACCTGCTTGGGAGACCTAGAAAAAGCCTCTAGCTCCTGGAGGCTTCAGATCAGCTCAGCTCTGGCCGCTGACAACCATCCAGGGAGTGAACCAGTGAATGGAGGATCCCACTCTAAATCTGCCTTTCCAATAAAAATAAATCTTCAGGGCCTGGTGGCGTGGCCTAGCAGCTATACTCCTCACCTTGAATATGCCAGGATCCCATATTTGCATCGGTTCTAATCCCGGCAGCTCCACTTCCCATCCAGCTCCCTGCTTGTGGCCTGGGAAAGCAGTCGAGGACGGCCCAAAGCTTTGGGACCCTGCACCCATGTGGGATACCCAGAAGAAGTTCCTGGATCCTGGCTTCGGATCGGCATAGCATTGGCCATTGCGCTCACTTGAGGAGTGAATCATCGGACAGAAGATCTTCCTCTGTGTCTCTCCTCCTCTCTGTATATCTGACTTTCCAATAAATAAATAAATCTTTTAAAACAGAAAGAAAAGCACTGGGTCTGCCCTGAGTCTGTGGGAGCAGTCCACACGGGGCACAACCAAGTACAAATCACACTCCGGCTCTGAGAAAAGGAAATGGAGCCCAAGCAAGGTTTGGCTGACTTCGCAAAGGAAAGCAGCCTGGTGCTCCTGGCTGCTGGGGTAGCTGGGATTTCTCAGGGGCTGGAGGAGCAGGTGTCTTGAGAACATCTGCTGAGTAGGAGAAACATAGAGGTTCAAGTGACACCCTAGACAGGGCCTTTTCATCTTGCAAGTAAAGGTTATTTTCCAAATAACCTGCCAGAAACAAATCTCAATCTGCTGTGAAGAACGGTAATGTGACCCATGGTCTCCAATTATCACTATATTTAAAAAAAGAAAAAGCAATTACTTTCAGTGTATTGAACTGCAGAGGAACAGATGGAGAGAGAGCGCATCTACCAAATGCACCAAAACAGCCCAGGCGGGACCAGGGACTGACGTATTCAAGGCATCTGCGGCTGCCTCTCGTGGTACACTCCAGCAGGAAGCTGGATCAGAAGCAGAGTCGCCGAGACTGAAACCAGGCCCTCCAGTACGGATGCAAGAGTCCCAGTGCTCTGTCACCCACCCATCTCTACAGTTTTTATATACACCACCGCTCAGCTCACAAATTTTTTTTACAAATAAGACAAAACTGAGTGTTAAACACAGCCATAAATTAGTCTACTGCATCGGTTTTCCTGTAACATGATTATGTTAAAAAAAAAAATTCAGTGCTAAGAGAATTTGAAAAAAAAAAAAAAAACATTAAAAAGTGGAAATACTAGAACCAAAAAGTGCAACAAATTACTCTGCACAAAATAGTAAATCAAACACAGCTGAAGAGAGCATTGGTCAACTGGATGAACAGCAAAGGAAAATGCAGGAGATGCATTTCAGAACATCTCACTTCATCCTGTAGCTGTAACTGGAGTTCCACAGGGAGAATAGCTTCATATGGCTCAGGGCAAGCTACGTTGTCCCATTCCTTGTGTGGCCATGGGAGCACTGAAAGCCGGGTATTTTGGAATGAACAGAAACTTGGTCCTTCGCAGTACTGAAGGCTGGGAGGCCCAGGAACTGGCATTGGGCGGGTGCTTCTTGTGCAGCATGACAGAGTAAAAGAGGGGAGAAGGACCAGGTTCATTTTACGTCTGTGGGAACAGCATTGGTTCATTTGTGACAAGAATCCCCACTGCCCACTCCCGTTAGAGGCCCCAACTCTTCACACTGGGACCGAGGGTACATTTCCAACACATCGACGTCATGAACCTGCTCATATCCATGTTCACTTGTTTCTTAAGTGAAAATGTAATAATTATGTATATACAGGTTTGTTGGGCAGATTAAGCGAGGTAACACGTCAGGTACTAATTCTACCTTAGAAAGTAGGGTACGTGTAAGCTGCAGGATGTCACGGATTTAGAATGCAAGAAAAAAATAGTTACACGTGAGAGACACACCAAGCAGTGCTCAGTAATTCTGTGTGAATTACATTTGCTGCAAAGAGTATTTTTTTTTTAAATAGGGATTTACAAGAGATGAACAAAATGAACATAAAATTCCTGAGGTATGTGTTTATATCACAAGAAAATGTATTTGGGTCTGCGTGTATGTGAGAGAGAACGGGGGCCACAGACGGAGAGAGACCACTTGTCTAAGAAAGGCCGTGACGATCACGGTTAAGGCTAAATGTGCCACCTCCCAAGACGCACGGATTCAGACAGAAGTGGAAGCGGCTTATCGTGCTGGAAGCCATCCACTCCAGAGGGGGAAAGCAAAGACACATTTCAGGAACTACTGCAGTAATTAAAGCAGCAGTATGCTAATTAAGGCTCATAAATTTAATGAAACCATTAGCATTTTCTCTTGCAAGAAAGGTAGAATTTCTGCCCCACCCCCCATGACACCTGCGAACAATTATCTCTTATTATTGCTATTAAGATTATTTACATAAGTTGTACTCATCTAGCACTCACTTAATGATTTGTTCCAGCACCCCATCTCACTGGGTTTCCTCTCTGTGGCCAGGAAAGTACCCAGGGACTTATTGGTAATCAATGGCAGAGTGCGGACAGACAGAGGGCCTGCTGTGCCCTTACTCCACAGCGTCTTGGTGTTTGTTTGCTTAATAAAGTGTTCGGGACCTTGGGGTGTCTGCAAGCGCCTGTTAGATTACAAACGTTAGGATGAACTCAGGCTTGGCTCGGTGGTTGCCGTCTCAAGAATGCACCGAGGGGAAATAGAGGCTCACATGTGAGAGCTGAATGATAATAAAACATGTAAAAGATTCTATTAGTGACTGAATACAAGTGGTCGTGATGACCGCAAGCCTGCCTGTTAGGATGTTTCGTATTATGAGTTAAAGAAAACCTAAACTGGGTTGGTTTCAAGCACGATGGGAACTTCTTGGCACATGTCAATGTTTAATGACCCACTGATTCAGCTCCTGAGTGACACTGATGGACACGTGTAGCTACTGGAAACACATCTGTGTGCAAGCCAGGTTCCACATACACTCATTTTAATGGGAGAATACAGAGAGCTGG